TTTCTACACTAACCTTTTTTTAATTCTTATTCAAAGTTAAAAATACTAAAAATCCAATAATAACACAAAACATTATATTTGAAAGGGCGCATTAAAAATGATATTAATTTATAGATCCTTCGTACACATAACTTTGTGGTATTGTTTTTTGTAATTCTTGATAAATATCGTTATTTGTAATAAAAAACGTAAAAAATTATAATCTTTTTTTGTTTTTGTTTTTTGTTGTTAAGCATCGAATGATACGGTTTTTGACTAACTGATTAATTTAATCTTCGATTGTAACCGTTAAAATAGTCTATACACCGAATTTTCCAATACGTGTAAAGCATGGCAACATTTCGACTAAACAAATAAATTAGTTAGATAATTTTACGTATCTAAAACCTATAGTGAAACATTTTCAAAATTGCGAACCATTATTAGCCCATTACCACGTCAACGTGGATAGTAGTATCTCATGAAGTGTGTTTTACTTAAGTTTTTGGTTGCTTTCCAAGATCTTTCCTCTTTGAACCTGATTTTCAATTTCAATAAGTTGAGTCACAAAGAAACAAAACTATATACGTCACTTTCCTTCTTCTTGTGTGTATATATATATATTCATGTATAGGAAAGGGAAAACTCAAGAATTACATAAAGTTCCTCAATATTTGGAGAACGATCGATGATGATTCCTACAAAAAAAGCTAATCATACCTTTCTAACTTACTTTGTCCTGTTCGTTTGGGGTTTTTTGTTGATGGATGTTGGTTTAGGACAAAACCAAGAACGTGAAATCAAAGTAGGAGTAGTTCTTGATCTCCAAACTAATTTTTCCAAGATCTGCCTCACTGCCATTAAGATGTCGTTGTCCGATTTCTATAAGGATAATTCTAATTACAGCACGAGACTTGTGCTTCATGTTAGAGATTCCATGGAAGATGCTGTTCAAGCTTCAGCCGCAGGTTTGATTCTTCTCTTTCTCTCTTTCTTCTCGGTTATAAGCATTTATTAACAGTTGTTCTTGAATGAAAAAGCATGCATATATGAAGAGTTACCATAATTTAAGTATCTCGGTTTTGTCGTCCATCATCAAGTATGATCTTAAAATGAAATTCAATCCTAGAATCACAAAATATCGATGTATTTTAATTAAAGGAGCAAAATACAATTAGCCGATTAAATTTTGCTAATTATTAAAGAAGTTTTCTTGGTAGCTAGAATGGGAAAATAATTAGGAGAGTAAGTTCTCTGAACATGCTTGGTTGGAAGAGAGATGAAACATTTTGTTGACTATTCAGAATCCAAGTAACGTCTTATGTGGTCTGTATTTTGAGGAAGCTATTGATATAGACAAAGTCTTCATTTTCTTCTTATCTTTCTTTATCTTCATTAAAAGAAGTCCTTGCTCATGTCACCTCAGCTTGAAAGTTTCTAGTTTTCAACACATTTAATATTAAACTCAAGTGTCAAATTAATACACTAACTTATTCGATTGTTAATAAACTAATCTTTTTCCGTTGTTGTTGTTGTGTTGCTTGTGGTGCAAGCAGCCTTGGACCTAATCAAGAACGAACAAGTGAGCGCTATCATCGGACCAAAAGACTCTATGCAAGCAGAGTTTATGATCAGACTGGCTGACAAAGCTCAAGTACCGACCATCACATTCTCTGCAACAAGCCCTCTCTTGACATCCATTAGAAGCCCTTACTTCATCCGAGCCACGATCGACGACTCATACCAGGTCAAAGCCATTGCCGCCATTGTCAAATACTTCGGTTGGAGAAGCGTCGTCGCCATTTATGTGGACAACGAGTTAGGTGAAGGCATCATGCCTTACTTGGCTGACGCTTTACAAGACGTGAAAGTCGAAAGAAGTGTGATCTCTGCGGAGGCTGACGATGACCAGATTTCAAAGGAACTCGATAAGCTCATAGCAATGCAAACGAGGGTATTCATCGTTCACATGGGTTCAAGTCTTGCTTTACGGGTTTTTCAGAAAGCTAAAGAGAAGAAGATGATGGAGGCAGGGTATGCATGGTTAATGACTAATGGAATAACGCATATGATGAGACATATCGACCGCGGTAGTAGCTTGAATACTCTAGAGGGCGTGCTAGGTGTAAGGAGCCATGTCCCTAAATCAAAACAGCTTGAAGATTTCGACTTGAGATGGAAAAGAACGTTTAAAAATGAGAATCCATTTATGGAGAATGAGCCAGAGCTGAACGTTTTCGCACTATGGGCGTATGATTCTCTGACTGCATTGGCTAAGGCTGTGGAGAAAGCCAACACAAATAACTTGTGGTATGATACTCCAAACACTTCAGCAAATAGCAAGACAGATTTGGGGACTCTAGGGGTGTCTCGCTACGGCCCAAGTCTTCTAAAGGCTCTCTCAGATGTAAGATTCAAGGGCTTAGCAGGAGATTTCAATCTCATTGACGCACAACTCGGGTCATCAACGTTTGAGATCATTAATTTTGTTGGAAATAAAGAGAATGTTATAGGTTTTTGGACACTGAGCAGTGGACTGGTGAATGCAGTTTCAAACAACAAAACGTTGGGGCAGGTGACATGGCCAGGGAAGTCCACAATTTTTCCTAAAGGTTGGGATATTCCAGGGAAGAAGCTTAAAGTAGGTGTTCCAGTGAGGAGAGGCTTCTTAAAATTTGTGGACGTAGATACGACCAGAAACAAAGTAACCGCGACCGGTTACTCCATCGACGTATTTGAAGCTGCTCTCAAAAAGCTGCCTTACCAAGTCATTTATGAATACGTCCCATTCGATTATCCAGATCAAAGCTACGACAATATGGTCCACGAAGTCTATAATAGGGTTAGTTCGCTCTTTCTTCCCTATTTTCATGCTAACGTATAAATTAAAAAAACACTTAACTTGTCTAACAAGTTAGGTCTTTATATGTATGTCATTTATAAATGAGTCAGAAGTACGACGCATTTGTGGGAGATGTAAGCATCATAGCAAACAGGTCACTGTATGTTGATTTCACGTTACCATACACGGAGTCTGGAGTGTTTATGTTAGTGCCGATGAGAGACACTAATAAGAACACTTGGATGTTCCTCAAACCTTGGAGCTTAGACCTCTGGGTCACCACCGCTTGCTTTTTCGTTTTCATTGGGTTTATTGTGTGGATTTTAGAACATAGAGTCAACACTGACTTCCGTGGACCGCCTCACCACCAGATCGGCACCAGTTTCTGGTTCTCCTTTTCCACTATGAACTTTGCCCATCGTAAGTTACTTACACAAGTAAAGATTCCATATATTGTCGTAGCTTTCTCTTGTGTGTTAAAATGTGATTGTGCGTGTGTGTGTGTGTGTGTGTATAGGCGAGAAGGTGGTGAGCAATTTAGCGAGGTTTGTGGTGATTGTGTGGTGTTTTGTGGTGCTTGTGCTCACTCAGAGCTACACAGCGAATCTTACATCTATCCTTACAGAACAACGGTTCAAACCAGATGTCATAACTATGAAAGATCTCATCAGAAATGGAGAGACTAGTGTAGGGTACCAATTAGGCTCCTTCGTGCGTGAACTTCTAAAAACTCAGGGGTTTCGTGATACTCAACTCAAGGCTTATACTACTTCCGAACACTGCAACAAGCTTTTATCTGATGGGCCAACGAAAGGCGGTATCGCAGCAGCTTTCGACGAATTGGCGTACCTTAAAGTTATCCTCTCTCAGTATTGCCCTAAATATGCTTTGGTTGAACCTTCTTTTAAGACAGCTGGTTTTGGTTTTGTAAGTTAACCTTCTTTTTCCTTTCACAAATCAGCACTTATATATCTAGTTATCTTACTCGTTTGACATTTTGTTTGGAATGATATATCTTTGTGTAGGTATTCCCAAAGAACTCACCTCTGAGGGGAGATGTCTCAAGGGCGATTCTGAATGTGACTCAAGGCAAAGAAATGAATGATATCGAGAAGAAATGGTTCGATCAGAGCAATTGTCCTGATCCAGATTCTATTGATCTGTCGTCTCACCGTCTCACCTTTAGTAGCTTCTGGGGTCTGTTTCTAATAGCTGGACTTGCTTCATTCCTGGCTCTTATCCTCTTCGTAGCCAAGTTCTTGTACGAGCACAGGCACACATTGTTTGGTGACGCGGAAAACTCCTTTTCTGAAAAGCTAACTTTTTTGCTTAGAAACTTTGATGAAAAAGACAAAAGATCACACATGTTCAAGGAGAGTGCCGTGCATAATGTGAGTTCACCTATAACGCAATGCAGTCCAAGACCTTCGACAGTGCAGATGACTCCATGGCAAGGAAGTCCGGCGGCGCAAGATATACAGTTTGAGTCAAGATGTGTGTCTCTTGTCCAGAGAGATGAGTTTGATACTGCCCCCATTGGAACAAGATGATGATGAGGTAACTACTGATGATGTTATAGTGTCAAAAATAGGTTAAAATGAACAATAGTTACATTGGATGACCCGTGTCTTGTGCGGGAATAATTATGTCTTTATCATGTTTTGATTTAACTAAGAATATTAAACTACAATACATGATTTCATGAAACTTATAATGTAATATAAATTGGTAAGTTTTATATATATAAATCATTGACCTATCTAATCATACATGATTTTACAATAAATAACTAAACGAGATGAATACTTTTAATTCGATATGTTGGATTCTTGTAATTTTCCAAGAAGTTTCTTTCTTTCTTTGTTTTCCAATATTTTAATATTCTTTCCCGTATATGGAACCGATCTTGCTAGCTAGAAGACGAATCAGTAGTGTCTTCTCTTCAACACCAACAAAGACAGTGGTTGGCGAATTTTCAAAGTAAACGCAATAGCCCAAAAAAGAAGTGACTATGGTAGATAATGACAAAAACTAGCTCGTACTAGCTAGAATCTCGTCCATACATTTTTTCCCTTGTCTCTATTAATTCTTAAAAAAAGAGAGACAAAACAAAAGGTATATTATATACAATAGAAAAAGAAAAAAGAATGACATAAAGTTTCTCAATCTTTGGATAAAGATGATGAACTCTACAAAAACTTCTAATATTTTCTTTATGGGTTACTTTCTCCCGTTCGTTTGGGGTTTTGTGTTGATGGAGGTTGGTTTAGGACAAAACCAAGCAACTGAAATCAAATTAGGAGTAGTTCTTGATCTCCAAACTCCATTTTCCAAGATCTGCCTCACATCCATGAACATGTCGTTGTCTGATTTCTATAGTAAACATGCTGATTACACAACACGACTTAAGATCCACGTAAGAGATTCCATGGAAGATGTCGTTCAGGCTTCAGCTGCAGGTTAGTGTCTTCTCTGTATCTTGCTTCTCCACTGCATGCACCACATTATTTGCATTAAGTATACATAAGTTTCACTTATTAAGAATTAAAGGTTAGGACCAATTGACCATATACACATCACTTAATTATATTAATGGTATTTTCTTTGAATCTTACCAATTACATAACTTAAACTGTAAGCTATTTCTATAATAGCCATATATGAAAGCAAACTTTTGGATTAACACTCAAACAACTACAAGTATATTCAAGTATTCAACCCTTTAACAATTATTTTAATGGCAATTGTTTTAGCTACTAATTTATTATGGTAATCTGTAACGTATATAATCAATCGTTATTCAATGGACTTGGTCTATTAAGTCTTCTCATAAGAATATGAAGATGAGATATTTTGTTAATTATTCAAATCCAAGTGTACTCTTATAGTTTGATTGACAAAGTCTTCCTTTACGATTCGTCAGAATATACATTTAGTATTTTAGCTCTGCGTTAATAAATAATTGTTAATCTTAAAGAAGAAGTAAAGAAGCATTTATTTCTTATTCTTTATGTTTGCTTGTGGTGCAAGCAGCCGTGGACCTAATCAAGAACGAGAAAGTGAGCGCCATCATTGGACCAAGAAGCTCCATGCAAACTGAGTTTATGATCAGGCTAGCCAACATATCACAAGTACCAACCATCACATTTTCGGCAACATGTCCTTCACTGACATCCATCCATAGCCCTTACTTTGTCAGAGCCACTCTCGACGACTCATCCCAAGTTAGAGCCATTGCGGCCATTGTCAAATCATTCGGCTGGAGAAACATCGTTGCCATATATGTGGACAACGAATTCGGAAAAGGAATAATGCCTTACTTGTCTGACGCTTTAAGTGACGTGCAAGCTTTTGTTGTCAATAGATGTTTGATCCCTGAGGATGCTAATGATGATCAGATTCTTAAGGAGCTTTATAAGCTAATGACGATGCAAACGAGAGTATTCGTCGTCCACATGCCATCAACTCTCGGTTTCCGGTTTTTTCAGAAAGCCAGAGAGATCGGGATGATGGAGGAAGGATATGTATGGTTATTGACAGATGGAATGATGAATTTGCTGAAATCTAACGAACGTGGTAGCTGCTTGGAGAATATGCAAGGGGTTTTAGGTGTGAGGAGCCATATCCCTAAATCAAATGACCTCGAAGATTTCAGATTGAGTTGGAAGAAAAACTCACTGAAGGGGAAGGATGTAGAGCTGAACATTTTTGCATTAAGAGCATATGATTCGATCACTGCATTAGCCATGGCCGTGGAGAAAGCCAGTATAAAGAGCTTGTGGTATGATAATCCGACCGCTTCAGCAAATAACAAAACAGATATAGGGACCTTAGGGGTCTCTCAGTACGGTCCAAGTCTTCTAAAGGCACTTTCGAATGTAAGATTCAAGGGTTTAGCTGGAGAGTTTGAACTCATTAACCGGCAGTTCAAATTATCAACATATGAGGTCATCAATATTGTTGGAAATGAAGAGAATATTATCGGGTTCTGGAGACCAGGCAATGGACTTATGAATGCTCATTCAAAAAAGACCATGTCCCTTGTAAGGGAGAGGTTCGGGCCCGTAATATGGCCCGGAAAGTCGAGAGTTGTTCCGAAAGGTTGGGAGATTCCAACAAATGTGAAGGTTCTTAGAGTGGGCGTTCCGGCAAAGAAAGGCTTCTTAAGTTTTGTCGATGCAAAGACAGATCCAATCAGTAACAAGATGATTCCCACGGGTTACAGTATTGACATCTTCGAAGCTACTCTTAAAAAGTTGCCTTACTCAGTCATTCCTAAATATATTGCTTTCGAGTCTCCAGATGAGAACTACGACGAAATGGTAAATCAAGTCTATATTGGGGTTAGTTCTCTTTTTCTTCCCCTTTTTTTACAAAGTAACAATAAGGTTCTTTGATGTTTAATTTTAATACTTAGTAAAGTGAGTATAATGTAGAATACGTGTGTTATGTGTCTTTTTTTCCTCTTTAATGTGTTATTTCTAACATGTTATTAATTACTAAAAAAATGACTCAGACGTACGACGCATTTGTGGGAGATGTAAGCATCATAGCAAATAGGTCACAGTTTGTTGATTTCACACTACCATACACAGAGTCTGGAGTGTCTATGATGGTGCAGCTCAAGGACAAGAAGAACAAGAATACATGGGTGTTCGTCAATCCTTGGAGCTTAGGCCTATGGGTCACCACCGCTTGTTTTTTCGTATTCATTGGGTTTATTGTGTGGATTTTAGAACATAGAGTCAACACCGACTTCCGTGGGCCGCCTCACCACCAGATAGGGACTAGTTTCTGGTTCGCTTTCTCCACTATGAACTTTGCCCACCGTAAGTTACACCAATCAAGAACTAAGTTAAAGTAGTGTAGTAGTATTGTTTGAGTCCTGCATGATTCATCTTGTAGTAGGATAACGTTGGGAAAATGTTATTATGATGTAGTGCAACTTTTTTGTGTGTATATAGGTGAGAAGGTGGTGAGCAATTTAGCGAGGTTTGTGGTGTTAGTGTGGTGTTTCGTGGTGTTTGTGCTGATTCAGAGCTATACGGCGAATCTCACCTCTTTCCTTACAGTACAGCGGCTCCAACCAGAGGTCACGAACTGGAAAGATCTCATAAGTAATAACAAAAATGTAGGGTACCAACGTGGGACTTTTGTGCTTAAGCTTTTGGAAAGTCAAGGGTTTCATGAATCTCAGCTGAAACCTTTTGGTTCTGCCGAAGAATGCGATGAGCTTTTTTCCAATGGGACAATTGCAGCATCTTTCGACGAAGTGGCCTATCTTAAACTTATCCTTTCTGAGAACTGCTCTAAATATGTCATGGTAGAACCAACCTTTAAGACGGCTGGTTTTGGCTTTGTAAGTTCTTTTACTTTACACTTTAAATTTTAAAAATAACAAAAGATATATGTATTTTGAGTATTTGGGTATATTCATTGCTTTGTGTAGGTATTTCCCAAGAATTCACCTTTGACGGATGATTTCTCAAGAGCGATCTTGAATGTGACTCAAAGCGAAGAAATGCAACATATCGAGAATAAATGGTTCAAGAAACAAAGTAATTGTCCTGATCCGAACACCGATCTTTCGTCCAAGAGTCTCAGCCTCAGTAGCTTATGGGGTCTGTTTCTAATAGCAGGCATCACTTCATTCTTGGCACTTCTCATCTTCTTGGCCACCTTCTTGTATGAACACAAGCACACACTCTTCGATGATTCTGAACATTCCTTCCGTAGAAAGTTCAAATCTTTGGTTAGAGTTTTTGATGAGAAAGACATAAAGTCTCATACGTTCAAGGAGAATGCCATTCATAATGTGAGTTCACCTATTACTCAAGGAAGTTCATACCCTTCAACGAATCGGAGCACTCCATTTCCACAAAGTCCAACACAAACTAGGGAGTTTGAGTCAATAAGAGTGCCTTCCATCATGAACGGAGAACTATTCACGGTGCAATTGGAACAATTTGAAGATGAGGCTACTACTCATGTGAAGGTGGATGATAGAAAGAAGTTGCAAAAGTGCATAACAATTTAGCCAGTCTGGCTCATACTCTTTTCTTGTGTGTAGAAATAATTAATGTATTACTTTTGTTGACGCTATGTTGAGTTTAAACTAACCAAGGTTAACATCTTGTTTTCCTATGAATTTTTTTCAAACTTAAGTGTCAAAACTAGATTTATGAATTTGGATTCTAATCTTCTTCCTTGTAGAGTTATTAAGAGATATGAAAATAATACAATATTTTGTAATCTACAAAAAGACACAAAGAAATATATCTTTAAAGATGAATGTCCTTTCTTTTCTTTTTTTCATTGTCTTGGAAATAAAAAATGTTGACAAAGCAAAAATTGTTTTTGGTTTTGTCTACACTATATATACGAATACGTCTTCATGTCATATTCTTGGAGACGTGTAAGAAAATGTGGTCGTCAAATTACCAATACATTTGCTTTTTATGAGATCTAACATATACCCAAAAACGCGTTGAACAAACTAAATCTAGTTTTAACACAAATGTTCTTGCACTAATATGGTGACAAGTTACCATTTTTTATAAAACTACATTGAAAATTACACTTGAATATTCTAGACAGAGTTTTACCGTTGACTAATGGAAATGGTTAAGAGAGTATTTTATAATTGTATCATTTAAAAAAAATATTTTTTAAATTGAACAAATCATTAAGTGAAACGGAATCAAATCTTGGAATAATCTTGAAACATCATTCCGTTTCCATTTTAAAATTTCTTATTTTATCTATTTTTCTCATCTGACTGTTTCAAACCATTTTTATATTGTTTTTTTTTTTTTGCAGTCAACACTAATTGTTTCTTATTTTACGACTCTTTCCTTGAGATTTTAGAACCAGTTTTGGTAAGCATTTCAAAGTCTTTCAAGACTTCTTCAAACCGACTCTTTTTTTTATTCATCTGTATATATATAACAGAGAAAGTGAAGTTAGAGAATCACATTAATGGTCTCTCTCCCTCTATCTTTGTATAATAATGATGAACCCTACAAAACCTAATAACACCTTTTTGAGATACCTTTTCTTGTTCCTTTGGGTTTTTTTGTCGATGGAGGTTGGTTTAGGGCAAAAACAAACAAGAGAGATCAAAGTAGGAGTAGTTCTTGATCTCGAAACAACGTTTTCCAAGATCTGCCTCACTTCTATGAACATGTCATTGTCCGATTTCTACAAAGAGCATCCTAATTACCAAACAAGACTTGTGTTTCACGTCAGAGATTCCATGAGAGATACTGTTCAGGCTTCAGCTGCAGGTTTGTTACTTTTCTGTCTCTTGCTTCTTCACTACATGTTACGGATCATTAGGCTTTATTATTCTTTAGTTGCAGTCGAATGAAATATATCAGCTGGTTCATGTTTTCAAATAAATTTGAACAATATTTTTTGGTCAGTATTATACGCAAAAGTGTCTTCTAATTATGTGGTATTTGCTAAAAGTCTTTGGTGACAATTATTTATCTTCTAGATTCTAGACTAATAAAAATCCAAATGACTTCTGATCCTAGCAATCTCTTCATCATTTTCTTTATTTTCTAGAAAGTCTTGTGACAACGGTAAAGGTCGCACAAATCCCTATTACTATTAGTCTAGTTTTAGCATATTTTGATTCAAGAATTCAAATATAATAAGACGATCGACTACTAAAACAATATTGGTAACATGCCTTTTGACATGGATTTTTTTAACACATATGTAAATTAATTTATATTATCTCAGTAATGATCATAAAGTCTTAAGTAATGGTATTATAATATTTTCTTCTTTTCTTGGTGTTTGCTTGTGCTACAAGCAGCTTTGGACCTAATCCGGAACGAGCAAGTGAGTGCCATCATCGGACCAAGAAACTCTATGCAAGCACAGTTTATGATCAGACTCGCCAACAAAACTCGTGTACCGACCATCACATTCTCTGCATCAAGCCCTCTTTTAACATCCATCAAGAGCCCTTACTTCGTCCGAGCGACTGTCAATGACTCATCCCAGGTCAAAGCCATTGCATCCATTTTTGAATCCTTCGGATGGAGAAGGCTCGTTGCCATTACTGTGGACAACGAGTTAGGTGAAGGAATCATGCCTTACTTGTCTGACGCTTTACAAGACGTGAAAGTCCACAGAAGTGCCATCTCCCCGGAGGCTAACGATGACCAGATTCTGGTGGAACTTTATAAACTCATGACGAGGCAAACTAGGGTTTTCCTTGTCCACACGGACTCACGTCTAGCTTTGCGGATTTTTCAGAAAGCTAGAGAGATCGGGATGATGCAAGAAGGGTATGTATGGTTAATGACCAATGGAATCACGCATAGAATGAAACACATCGACCATAGCTTAAGTACTGTAGAGGGCGTTTTAGGTGTGAGGAGCCATGTCCCTAAATCGAAAGAGCTTCAAGATTTCCGTTTGAGATGGAAAAGAAGGTTCGAGAAGGAGAAACCAACGTTGAGAGATGATCCAAGCGCTTTTGCATTGTGGGCGTATGATTCAATCACTGCACTGGCCATGGCCGTAGAGAAAGCCAAATTTGATATCTCGTTGCATGATAATGGGAGGGTCTCGTCAAAGAACATGACAGATTTGGGGAACGTAAGAGTCTCTCCCTACGGTCCAAGTCTTCTAAAGGCTCTCTCGGAAGTACGTTTCAAGGGTTTAGCAGGAGAGTTTAATCTCATAAACGGGCAGCTCGAGTCACCAAAGTTTGAGATCATCAACTTTGTCGGAAACGAAGAAAGGGTACTCGGATTTTGGACGTCGAGCAATGGACTTGTGAATGCTAATTCAGACAAAACAAGGTCGTTCGGGCCAGTGATATGGCCAGGGAAGTCGACGGTTGTTCCTAGAGGATGGGAGATTCCAACAAACGAGAAGAAGATTAAAGTGGGCGTTCCAGTAAAGAAAGGCTTCTTTAATTTTGTGGAGGTAACCAAAGATCCTATCACTAACATAACAACCGCAAAAGGTTACGCCATAGACATCTTTGAAGCTGCTCTTAAGAAGTTGCCATATTCAGTCATTCCACAATACTACCGTTGCGAGTCTACAGATGATGACTACAATGACTTGGTCGACAAAGTCTACAACGGGGTTAGTTCCTTTTTATTCTTCCTATATTTCTTTACTTCAACAAAAATAAAAAATTTCATGCAATTTGCATGCATGCTAATAGAAAAAGCGCTATTTAAATAAATAAATAACAAAATTCTCTAACATATTATATGAAATGACGCAGACTTTGGATGCGTTTGTTGGAGATGTAACCATCACAGCGCATAGATCCACGCGTGTTGACTTCACGTTACCGTACACAGAGTCTGGAGTATCTATGATGGTGCCTGTGAGAGACAATAAGAACAAGAACACATGGGTGTTCCTCAAACCTTGGAGCTTAGACTTATGGCTCACCACTGGTTGTTTCTTCGTCCTCATTGGTTTTGTTGTCTGGTTGTTCGAACATAGAGTCAACACAGACTTCCGTGGACCGCCTCACCACCAGATCGGTACTAGCTTTTGGTTCTCCTTCTCCACCATGGTTTTTGCCCACCGTAAGTTTTTTTTATTAATGATAAATGTTAATTTTCGGTAAATTAGTCTATGTTACGTTTGTTTATATAATTTATCAAAAACAAAATGTATCAACTTATTTATCTTAATTTTTTAAAACAAGAATTAAGGATTCTAATGATGAAGGTTATTTGTGGTTGTGTATATAGGTGAGAAGGTAGTGAGCAACTTAGCAAGGTTTGTGGTGGTTGTGTGGTGCTTTGTGGTGCTTGTGCTCACTCAGAGCTACACAGCAAATCTCACCTCTTTCTTGACGGTACAACGTTTCCAACCAACGGTCACAAATGTGAACGATCTCAAAAGGAATGGGGACTATGTAGGGTATCAACACGGGGCTTTCGTTAAAGATATTCTACTAAAGGAGGGATTCGATGAATCTCGGCTTGTGGCTTTTGGTTCATCCGAAGACTGCAACGCGTTATTGTCCAACCGCAGTATTGCAGCTGTTTTCGACGAAATTCCATACCTGAGAGCTATCCTTTCTCAAAACTGCTCCAAATATGTCATGGTTGAACCTACATATAAGACTGCTGGTTTTGGCTTTGTAAGTTCTGTTTTTTCTCTTTTGAATTTACTTTTAGAAAACAGGAAGGAAGAAAGAAACACATTAGTGCAAGTTTCCTGATGTTTTCATTGCTTGTTTCCATGATCAACGTGTAGGCATTCCCCAAGAACTCACCTTTCACAGGAGATGTCTCAAAGGCTATCTTAAACGTGACCCAAGGAGCTGAAATGCAACACATAGAGAACAAATGGTTCATGAAACATAATGATTGTCTTGATCCAAAGACCGAACTTTCGTCAAACAGTCTCGGCCTCAATAGCTTTTGGGGTCTGTTTCTAATAGCAGGCATTGCTTCATTCTTGGCACTACTAATTTTTGTGGCCATTTTCTTGTACGAAAATAGGCATACAATATATGATGATTCCGAAGATTCGGTTTGTCGAAAGCTAACGTCTTTATTCAGAATCCTCAATGAGAAAGACTTTAAGTCTCATACTTTCAAGAACAGTGCCGTTCATAATGTGAGCTCACCTATGTCGACACACTACACTCAGAGCCCATCAGCTGTGCAAATCGCACCGAGGCCAGAAAGTTCATCACAAAACAGGGAGTTTGAGCTAAGAAGAATGTCTTTTACCCCAAGCGAAGAAGGCTTCATTACGCAAACTATACATCATGAAGATGAGGCAACTAGTATTGAATGTAGAGTTGAAAAATAGAGAGAAACTTAGAAGACTCCATAACAAGTTTTAGATAGTCTAGGCTGGCTGTATAATCTTCCATGAAACTTAATTACTATTCTTTTATTTATAAAAAAGTTATTTATGTTTATAGTAAGTATATATATAATAGATCTTTCGACAGCGCCAACTCAATATTTGAAGAAAAGACTTGACTTTTGTTTTCTCATAAAACAGATATACTTCTATACTTGATTACAAGAGTTGTGGTTTTTAACCTTACCACTGCAAAAACTTCTAAAAGTATAAATGAAACAACATGGAGTTCTAGAATATGGAACCACAAGGTCGGTTTTCGAGTATGAAACCCTCAAAAACTCAAGAGCTATAAACATGTAAAAACTAAACAAAGCACGTAAAAGCCTAAAGTCCCCTAAATTTTGTTTTAAAAGAAAAATGACCACTGGTGGGATTGACTGATCATCAGCCTAGCTAGTGTATGTTCGGTCCGTACAAAAACTTCCTTATTGGTAAAGAGACACTGCATCTGCATGGCGCATATATAGCATCGCATTACTATTCATAAATTTGATTAATCACATCACATCCAAATGATATCGCTTACTAAATCCAAGGTGGCATGTTACTAAATCCAAATAACAAGAAGTTGTATTTGCATCCATTCCAAACCATGCATTAGTTGTTCACGACTTCACGTGTATGTCCGGCATGAGCTCTTGTTTGGTGTCTCGTGTTTTTTTTTTTTTTTTTTTCCCAATTTTAACATGCTGTTCCTTTATGTCCGGAGAAAGCTACCGGAAAAGCCATCGACTCTTTTCTCTGTTTACTCTTTTTTTTTTATTTTCTTCTAAAAACAAAATTCTGGTCGGGTCAAAGGTTAGTTCAAAGCAAATCGGGTTAAAATTCGAGTCAAATCAATATCAGTTTAAACGTTACGCGGGTTAGTCGTAATAAAAATAATTTGTGAAGCTTCAAGAGTCAAGACGGAGTTTTCATAACGGAAATGGTCAAGATCTCAAGTATTAATTAAGAATGTAAGAATGAGTCAGCACTTTTGAAATATTTTCAACCATCTTAAAATAAGGGAAGGCCATATATTTATTTTATTTTGTAGAATCTACGTTTTATTAATAAATTATCATGAATCCAAACAAAACAAAAGTAAGTTAAAATTTTGGACAGCAACCAGATTTTTCAAGAACAAAACAAAAAAAAAACTAGAAAAAATAAATTCTAACTGAGCAATACTGCTTCATTTTAACCTTATAGTTATATATTTGTTCATTTTTATCTTATCTATATATATTTAACCTCTATATAAATTAAAAAAACTTATATTGTAGTCGAGAAGTTACGGAAATTTTGTAGTTTTGTATTGCAAAGACAAGTCATCTGCAAAGACTCATATCTACACTTACACACCACTTATTGTCTTCACAGTCAACACTGTTTGATTATTATATTATGTCACTTTCTTTGAGGAACCAAATTTTGGGTATAGCTTAATTTCAAAGTCTTTTCATAGATTTTAAGACTCTTTCATACCGATCCTAATTCCTTTGTATATATATAATTGGAAAAAGGGAAGTTAACGATATCATAAAGTCTGTCTCCTCAATCTTTGGACGACACTGATGATTAACCCTAGAAAAACTAACAACACCTTTCTGAATTACTTTTTCCTGCTCGTTTCGGTTTTTTTGTCGATGGAAGTTGGTTTAGGACAAAACCAAACAATAATCAAAGTAGGAGTAGTTCTTGATCTCAATACAACATTTTCCAAGATCTGCCTCACTTCAATGAACATGTCATTGTCCGATTTTTACGAGGATCATCCTAGTTACCGCACAAGAATTACTCTTCATGTCAGAGATTCCATGGAAGATACGGTTCAGGCTTCAGCTGCAGGTTTGTTACTTTTCTGTCTTTTGCATCTTCACTACATTAAGCATGCACGTAAAGGATCATTATACGAATTATTAGTTTATTGCTTCTTTATGTCTTGCTTTTCCAATATAGGTAAGAAACCATTCAGATTCATTAATCATTAGTTAGGAACGAAACATATTACGTAGGAATTTAGAGTTACGGCTAGACATGATTTAGCTGGTTACTATCTTTACCGAATGTGAAATTGGCTTCATATGATCTGGTGTAATGATTATGGTAAGAGAAATCTCGTCTAATGTCTATTTATGGTAAGAGCAATCTCTTGATACATAGTCAACTACCTTATTTCTAGAAAGTCGTGGTGACGATTACTATTAGTCTCATTAATTTTATTTAAGTCATGAGATTTTAGATGAATGGTTAAATACCATTGGTGATGGTGACATATCATATACTCTACATTCAATATTTTAACTCTTTATGTGAATTAATGTCCTCGATAGTTATTAGAAAGTTAGAATAATTATCTCTTCTGAATCGGTAATCTATGAAAATATTTCAATCATCGTAAAAGTTGTATTAACCTTTCTTCGTTTATATGTGTTTGCTTGTGGTGCAAGCAGCCTTGGACCTAATCAAGAACGAGCAAGTGAACGCTATCATCGGACCAAAAAGTTCTACGCAAGCAGAGTTTATGATCAGACTGGCCAACAAAACTCAAGTACCGACCATCACATTCTCAGCAACAAGCCCTCTTTTGACATCCATCAGAAGCCCTTACTTCGTCCGAGCCACTGTCAATGACTCATCCCAGGTCAAAGCCATTGCCGACATTGTCAAATCCTTCGGCTGGAGAAGCGTTGTTGCCATTACTGTGGACAACGAGTTAGGTGAAGCATTCATGCCCTTCTTGTCTGACGCTTTACAAAACGTTGAAGTCAACAAAAGTGCAATTCCTCCGGAAGCTACTGATGATCTGATACAAGAAGAACTTTTAAAGCTCATGAAGAGGCAAACGAGAGTATTCGTTGTCCACATGGAATCAAGTCTAGCTTTCCGGATTTTTAAAAAAGCTAGAGAGATCGGGATGATGGAGGAAGGGTATGTATGGTTAATAACCAACGAAATGACACATATGATGAGACATATCGACCATGGTCATAGCTTAAAGACTATAGAGGGCGTGTTAGGTGTGAAGAGCCATGTCCCCAAATCAAAAGAGCTTGAAGATTTCGGTTTGAGATGGAAAAGATCGTTCAAGAAGGAGAACCCGAGGGATGAACTAAACATTTTTGCATTATGGGCGTATGATTCAATCACGGCCTTGGCCATGGCTGTGGAGAGAACCAATCTTAACAGCTCATGTTATGATAATGGGAGCGCCACGTCAAAGTACATGACAGGTTTGGGGAACGTAGGGGTCTCTCCGTACGGTCCAAGTCTTCAAAAGGCTCTATGGGAAGTAAGTTTCAAGGGTTTAGCTGGAGATTTTAATCTCACTAACGGACAGCTCGAGTCACCAAAGTTTGAGATCATCAACTTTGTCGGAAACGAAGAAAGGGTACTCGGATTTTGGACGCCGAGCAATGGACTTGTGAATGCCGATTCAAACAAAGCAAAGTTAGGGCCGGTGATATGGCCAGGGAAGTCAAATATTGATCCTAAGGGATGGGAGATTCCAGGGAAGAAACTTATAGTGGGCCTTCCAGTGAAGAGAGGCTTCCTTAATTTTGTGGAGATTATCAGAGATCCTATCACTAACAAAACAACTGCAAAGGGTTACGCCATAGACATCTTTGAAGCTGCTCTTAAGAAGTTGTCATATTCGGTCATTCCTGAATACGTCAGTTTAGATTCTCCACATGAGTACACTAGTTTGGTCTACCAAGTATATAACAAGGTTAGTTCTTTTTTTTCTTCTTACAAATAATTCGAAACATTCACATAATTAATACAAGTAATGAGTTGGCTAAACCATTCCCTAATATCTTTTTAGATGTAATTTTTTTAACATACTATTTATGATATGGAACAGAAATGGGATGCAGTTGTTGGAGATCTAACCATCACAGCAAACAGGTCTTTGTATGTTGACTTCACGTTACCGTACACAGAGTCTGGAGTATCTATGATGGTTCCTGTGAGAGACAATGATAACAAGAACACATGGGTGTTTCTTGAACCTTGGAGCTTAGGCTTATGGGTCACCACTGGTTGTTTTCTCGTCCTCATTGGTTTTGTTGTATGGTTGTTCGAACATAGAATCAACACGGACTTTCGTGGACCACCTGACCACCAGATTGGTACTAGTTGTTGGTTCTCCTTCTCCACCATGGTTTTCGCCAACCGTAAGTTCTTACACCATTCTTGAATCTAAATAATTATATAATTATATTTAAGTTCTTACACACCAATCATTTTACCACAAGATTCTAATGATAAAATGAACTTGTGCGTGCATGTGTGTGTTGTATATATATAGGTGAAAAGGTTGTGAGCAATTTAGCAAGGTTTGTGATGGTTGTGTGGTGCTTTGTGATGTTTGTTCTCACTCAGAGCTACGCAGCTAATCTTACCTCTTTCTTGACGGTACAACGTTTCCATCCAGCGGCCACAACGGTGAACGATCTGATCAAAAATGGGGATTATGTAGGGTACCAAGGCGGTACATTCGTTAAAGATATTCTATTAGATTTGGGATTTCATATAAATCAGCTAAAGCCTTATTATGCTGCGGACGAAGCCTTAACACTTTTTTCCAAGGGGAAGTCAAAAGGTATCGCAGCAGTGTTCGACGAAGTGGCTTACCTTAATGCTATTATTTCTCAATCTTGCTCCAAGTATGCCATGGTTGAACCTACTTTTAAGACTGCTGGTTTTGGCTTTGTAAGTAACATTTACAACTTACTCTACAAAATACTCATTTATTCGGATGTTATGTTAATTTAACATTATGAATGTGTAGGCATTCCCCAAGAATTCACCTTTGACAGGAGATATCTCAAAGGCTATCTTAAATGTGACTCAAGGAGCTGAAATGAAAGAAATCGAGAACAGATGGTTTGGGAAGAAGAATGATTGTCCTGATCCAAAGACCGATCTTACATCCAACAGTCTCAGCCTCAGTAGCTTATGGGGTCTGTTTCTTATAGCAGGAACTGCTTCATTCTTGGCACTACTCGTCTTCGTTGTCCTTTTCTTGAAAGAGCATAGGCATACACTATGTGATGAATCCGGAAGTTCCTTGTGGAGAAAGCTAAAGGTCTTGTCCAGAATCTTCGATGAGAAAGACTTTAAGTCTCACACTTTCAAGAACAATTCTGTTCATAATGTGAGTTCACCTCTGACTGATTATTACATTAGGAGTCCTTCAACTGTGCAAATCATACCAAGGCCACCAAGTCTATCACTAAATAGGGAGTTTGAGCTAAGAAGATTGTCTTCTACCCAGAGCGAAGAATGGTTCACTATGCAACCGATATATCATGAAGATGGAGAATCTGATATTGAATGTGTAGTTGAAGACAAGATCTTTTAGAAAACTCCATTAACAAGTTATAGATCTATTCAATTACTCCCACTGTTCTATTTTGTTAGATGTCATAAGATCAAAAAATTATTTGTTTCATTTTGGATGGTTTTCTCATTTGTCTATGCAATTTCTATTTGCTAAATTTTTATAAATGAGAAAACATTTGTTATTCCTAAATCTTTGTGTGTTTTAATGTTTTGTACAAAATAGAACAGAGGAAGTATGTATATATATACCAGATAGTTCGTATGGATTTATCATCTATGGTAAGTATATTATATAGGATTCAATATTCATCTTTCATTGCTTGCCAAGAAGATTTAAATTTTTATGATACCTAAGACTTACCAAAAAAAGAAAGAAAAAGATTACGAAGGGAAGTTTCTTAAGGAGGAGGAAAAGATGAAGTGTGAGTAGCTGAGTAGTTTGAGCCAAGCGGTTACTGCATATTTTGCAGTGATATCTCTGAGTTCTCGTCTCCTGCGTACGTGGATATTCTCAGGATGGTCACGGGCTACGTTACGTAATACGTACCTTATTTGTTTCCTAACCTCTTCAAATGTTTATATTATATATTAAAGATCTTTGATATTCCAACTTATCCACTACGCAGCCCTTTCACTACAACGAACGACCATATACATCAATTTTAATAAGTGTTATTCAAATTTACTATTAAGATAACGTACATACGTAATTTTCCAACGTAACATAGTTAGGTTTTATGTCACAAGAGTAAAACCTTACATTACTATGATACTTGGTTTTATCCATTTTACTTGATGGACAAAGAAACTTATATTATACTGTTCTTAATTATGATGTTTGTCAATTGTTGTATAGTGCAAAGATTCTTCCTTCTTTGTATTATCTTCTACTGTCATTATGTATACAAAAATACATTAGAAAATAATTAACTATCACATCGTACAGAGAAAAAGATTCATCATTATACATAAAACAAAAATGGCAAAAATCAAACGTAGTTTTTGTTTAACTAATGGAAGTATTAATAATTACAAGAAAAAAAAGGAAAAAGATTCATCCTCATAAAACAAAAAATGGGAAAATCAATAACTAATGGAATAAATATGTACTAATAATTTCTGCAAGAAAAACAAAAAAAATTAAAAAAAGAAGAAAAAAGAGTTTTAACTTTGCTAGATTTTTTCTTGCTTACAAGAGAACTCAACCATACAACATTTTCAGTGGATCCCATTTATCTCAAAAGAAAAAAAGAAATTGATGAACTAAAAATGTCTTTGTTTTTTGTGGTCACTAAAGTGTATTGTGGGGTTAGCCAAAGGGCAAGTAAAATAAATAAATAAACTCAAATACAGTCCAAATACACAAATACACAAATGCCTATGGATTCACATATTATTTTTTCTGTTCCGTACATGCTTTTTTATCAGCAAAAAATAAAAATCCATCCACTAAATAATTAACAATAATCAAGGATATCAAACAATAACCACATAAAGAGTTCAGCGCCGAAAACTTTGTCTATAAATATCTACATTTGTGAAAAAAAAAAAAAAATAGAATACCTAAACCAATTATCTAAAAATCAGTTAAAAAATTACATAATGATATATATCTTCTAGCATATTATATTTATAGCCTGTATGCAGTTTCCAAGTTTGTGTTTATTGGACCAAAGAACCGTCGGCAAATGTTTGAACTCCTACACTACAGAAGTAAATGGCTCAAAAAAGAAAAAAAAGATTTACCCTATTTTATTTATTTTTTCATATTATAAGCTATATTCATTGGCGGCAAACTTGTTTTATTATGTATAAAAATTTCGTATATATAAATTTTGTAACAAAAAAAAATAAGAAAGAAAAGAAAGGCCAGGAATGAAGTATCTTTCCACCTCAACTATAGCTATATAAACCCCTCAATACACTTCAAGCATAAGTCATTAACAAGAACGAACACACACTAAAATCCTAACTATAACTATATATTCATAATACTAATTACTTTACCTAATAATGCAAATGTCATCTTCATCATCTTCTTTTATTTTCTTGTCCTCTATTTATGCTGATGAATCGGCACTAATCACAATAACAAGTGTAGTAGTAGTAGTAGTACTATTAGTGCTTCAATGGCGGTTGCACCGGAAAGAGCAAAGAAGACGGCTACCACCTGGTTCCATGGGTTTACCTTACATAGGAGAAACACTCCGCCTCTACACAGAGAATCCTAATTCCTTCTTCGCCACTCGCCAAAACAAGTACTCTTTTGTATTCTCTTACATATGTGTTGTTCATTGTATTCTTTAACCATTAAATTTGACTGTTGAAACTTGAAAGATTCACATTACCAATCCACTCAAGTCTTAAGTGTGAAATATCCGAATCCGTAGGTACGGTGAGATATTCAAGACGCACATATTGGGATGTCCATGTGTGATGATAAGTAGTCCAGAGGCAGCAAGAATGGTATTAGTGAGCAAAGCTCACTTGTTCAAGCCAACTTATCCTCCTAGCAAAGAACGTATGATTGGACCAGAGGCTCTTTTCTTTCACCAAGGTCCGTACCATTCTACCCTAAAGCGGCTTGTTCAGTCATCCTTCTTGCCTTCAGCTCTCAAACCAACCGTTTCTCACATCGAGCTCCTTGTCCTCCAAACCCTTTCCTCTTGGACATCCCAAAAGTCCATCAACACCCTCGAATACATGAAACGAGTATGTCTCTTTAGTCTATTTTTGGATTATATGCATGGACGTTCCTTGAGGCATTCCAAAAGAAACTATTGACAAAAAAGATTTTCCAAATTTTGCGGGCCTCACTTTTTTTTATAGAGAAAAAAATTGTTTAGGAAAGAAAACAAACTTCAAATTTGTTTTATACTTATTTGTGTATTTTACACTACAATTTGAATATATGTTTATTTTTTTTAATAAAAAGTAGTTGTGGAAAAAAATGTGTTGTAAGATATTTGTTTGAGTATGCGGTATGGTTTTGTTTTGACTCGAATCTTTTTATGAAAGTATTGATTTGAGAGGTAATTGGGATCTATGGGTGTAGTATGCATTCGATGTGGCGATCATGTCAGCGTTTGGGGACAAAGAAGAGCCCACTGAAATCGAAGCAATAAAGCTTCTTTATCAACGTCTAGAGAAGGGTTACAACTCCATGCCTTTAGACCTACCTGGCACACTTTTTCACAAATCCATGAAGGTATAATATAATTTATGAGCTATGCATATAAATGGTATTAGTATAGATGAAGCTCATGACCGGTGTAGATAGAGATGATTCTTTAAATTCTCTTTGGTGATCATGTGTGCGTTGAACGTGACAAATCCATGTAGAATTGTGAAATACCACAAAAGAATTAGGAAACAAAGATTGTACAGTTTAGGTCTTCAGGGACCACATGTGTGCGATATTATTTGACATAGGTTTATAGATTCTTTTCACAAAAACATAAAGACAAAGTCATCTTCAAGACATAGATGTATGATGTGATTAATATAGTTTCATTCATGTTATTTTTATTTTAGGTTTAATCTCATAAATAAATATGTTTTTATTTTTTGGTAATTGGAAAAATTAAGGCAAGAAGGGAATTAAGTGAAGAATTAAGGAGAATGATAAAGAAGAGAAGGGGGAGTGGGAAAGAAGGAGGAGGACTATTGGGAGTACTACTCGGAGCAAAGGATCAGAAACGCAACGGGCTAAGTGATTCACAAATCGCCGACAACATCATCGGGGTGATCTTCGCCGCCACCGACACAACAGCTTCTGTCTTAACTTGGCTTCTCAAGTACTTGCACGACCACCCCAATCTCCTTCAAGAAGTCACCGTAAGCAACTCTCGTTTTTTTTTTATTTATACTTTGTTTTTTTTCAAGTTTATCTTTTGCATGTTCATATTGCAAAATATCATCTAGAAATTATAGTGTTGTCGACTTATCGCATCCCTTAAAATATATTTATTTATTATGATAGATACATTTAAATTTATGAAATACATATTCTTATGTTTGATCATTTTTTAATTTAATAGAGGGAGCAACTCGGTATTCAACAAAAAATAAAAGAAGAAAACCGAAGAATCTCATGGGAAGATACAAGAAAAATGCCACTGACTTCAAGGGTACGATACCAAATTCAATATATTTGATAAATCATTTGTAATGATAATGTCATATATAATGTTCAATCGTGCAATCAATTTAATTATTACTATATTCGTACTTTTGGTAGGTGATACAAGAGACACTACGAGCAGCAAGTGTATTGTCCTTTACGTTCAGAGAAGCAGTACAAGACGTCGAGTACGATGGCTACTTGATCCCAAAGGGTTGGAAGGTTCTTCCTCTTTTCCGACGAATCCATCACTCTCCCGAATTCTTCCCGGATCCCGAAAAATTCGATCCTTCTCGATTCGAGGTAAGATTATCCACTGCATAGATATATATATATATATATATGCATGGGTAGATAAGGTGACTGAGACATGGAACAATGACTTTGGACTACTAGTTTTATGGTATACGGATGCATTTTACCTACTAAGTATTATTGTTGTTGAAAGATAGAAAGATGTATAAAGAGTAAAAACATTGAACCAACTCAATGTCAAGTCTAGGGTTTAGTCAACTTTGTGGGGACTTCACTGGATTTACATTGCATGTAGATGACATCTTGTAATGTTGACAGGTGTCACCAAAACCTTACACGTACATGCCATTTGGGAATGGAGTGCACTCATGTCCAGGAAGTGAGCTGGCTAAACTTGAGATGCTTATCCTCCTTCACCACCTCACTACTTCCCTCAGGTATTGTAAATTGTTTTCTTTCTTATATATATAAAAGTATTTTCAAGTTCTTTTTTAAAATAGTTTCGAGTGTCTCAATCTTATTATATGCCCAAAATCATTTACCAAGATAGATATAAGTTTTGAATTTTCAGTCTCTATTTTTCTGAGTTTATTTTTTTTAATCAAACGTAAATTGCATAGTATTTTTCTTTTAATATATATTCGACTCCACAACGTCATCACTTTATGATGTCATATATACACTAAAATTGTTTTGTTTTTTTTATATACTAGTATCGTGGTTTATTGAAGATGTTCGATTGAACTTGTGTTAATAAAGAGTTGTTGGACCCATGACGTGAAAAAAAACTAGTGATGATAAGAGGTCTAATATAAGGATTAATCTTTGATTTTCTTTCTATTCATGAGAACTATTGACTTAGATATTTTTTTTTTTTTTTTTTTTTTTTTTTTTTTTTTTTGTGTGAGTCTCTGTGTTTGGTAAAGTAGATATATATGTTGATAACAATAATTTTGTAGTACCCCAAAAGAATTGTCAGAAACATGTGAATCGGCGACCTGTCAAAATCAGTACCTATGCTCCATATATGGTCCAACACAAAATATGTGAATCTCTTTTAATCTGAGATTGTCTGTAAAACTTAATGTTCTTATTCATCAGATTACTTTCTAATGACTGATTGATAAACTGATAAATTAATGATGTTTGGATTTTAATTTGTAGATGGGAAGTTGAAGGAGGTGAGGAAGGAATACAATATGGTCCTTTCCCTGTGCCCAAGAAGGGTTTACCAATAAGAGTAACTCCAATTTAAGCCTAAGGCATAATTTGGAGTTTTAAAAAAAGTATTTAATCCAATAATTTATGTTTTAGTTTCTCTATAAGTAGAATTTTTTTTTCTTTCTCTTTTAAAATTTAAGAATTGGCCTACAATTTTGGCCTGTTTTATTTTGTAAATATATTGTTTTCTCCAAATTTAATGTAAAGATGCAATTAAATGAGTTTTATTTTAATTGGCTGGACCAATCAGTTTAAATATCTTTGAATTCTATTATACGTCTCCAATTAGCTTACTTATCTATATCATCCAACTAGCTTATTGCTTTCATGTCTGTGACAGTTTCGTTGAGATACTTGTGTTTTTATGTTTGGATCCGATCGAGTTGAGGCAAACACAAATTTTCAGAGGAAACTAAACTCACATCGTATAATATGCATGGTTCTTTTTTTTTTTACCTTTGTTCAGTATCGGATCTTTGTGTAAGATTCCGTTCAGACATACAAATCTGAGGTTGACGTAATTGTTTGGTACGTAGTATTATTCATGAGTTATACAAAGCCATTAGTGTTTAGTTATATATAAACTAAATAGTTCGATTAGAAACAATATTATCATTATCATTGTCACAAACACGGAAGTAAATAAAGACTTGAGTCATGCAAGGGGGACAACAGATAAAGTCTCGTGATAAAATGAGTAGCCACGTACGTGTTCACAATTGGGTACATGCATGCAAAAGACTCCACCTAACACAATCTTGTAAGAGAAAAAAAAGCCTTACGTGGAACTCTCGGCTTCCATAAAAACGAAATAAGATTGAAATGAATCTAATTCATTGTCTCCGATTTGTCTCTGTCCTAAAGTCAGAGAGAATCAGAGATTCGTTGTCAGAGTAAAATGATTTTGCTATTGGTCCACTTAGAGAGTCTCTAAACCATTCCAAAGGTTTTGGTGGACAGAGATTTAACATGCTCCAACCCTTTCTTATCCAATTTGTCTCCTCTCTTGTACCTCTTTAAGTTAAAAGCCCTACCTCAAAGTTTTCACATGATTTGTTCTTGGAAGTGTCTCTCTCAATCTTTTTTTTTGTTTTTTATGTTGAAGAGAGGATTTGATATGTGACGACTAAAACGTGTACAACGAAAAGAGGGGAGAGTGAGGATTAACACGATCGATGTTTCCTTTTGGATTAGAAACGTGAAGTAGCCGAAACTCAAATGTTAAATCCAGTAGCCGTAAATGAGACGAGTCTTTCAAAATGCATACATTATATATATACTCAGTAGTCAGTACTCTTGGTTATGGATATATGTTTTGTATTATTTGTTTGCTTGAATCTTTTCATGTTTTTTGTTGATGTTATTTTGATGTTTCCTCGAGTTGCGCACTCATATCTTTTGGATGAGTCTTTTTGGTTATTCTATTGGGTCAAAACATTTTCGTAAGTTATAACACATACTTAGGGATTGACCTATGCTTTAAACTATATTAACTAGTAAACGTCCTACAACTATTCAATAAAAGCTGTGAAAATATAAAAACTCATAAGTTAGATTTTTCTCTTAAAAAGAAACACATTTATTAACTTGAAATTTGGTTAATTTGAAATCAAACTTGCTTTATATGGACTATCATTTGTACTATCTTTTCACCAAACTGCTTGATATTTTGGAATGAAATTAAATAACTCTTTATGAACCTTAATTGGTCTCTCACAATTAGTTTTGCACCACACCCACTATCGTACCATTTCCTAAAATATCATAAATGATTTTGCTAATCGTGATGATATGTATTAAAATATCCATAAGTTTTATGATAATAATCAGAAATCCACTGAATCGCTTAACTTTGTAAGTCAATAACATATAAAACATATGAATGTAATGTAATCATCCTTAAATAAAAGAATAGATGCTTGCACATATATATCTTTTGTCAATTATTATAATACAATTAACTTAAAAACTAAATCACTATAGAGTAATTCATTTGTCGTCAATGAAAAAAATAATAATAATTATTATAAAAAACGGTTCCCCTCTCCTCATAATGGTCGTAGTTCTTAATAAAATAATTTCACTATTAATTTCCAAATTCACAAAAAATAAATAATGCAATTAGTTGTTAATTAATATAAGAACTAAAAATGGTAGAGTAGAGTCACAATTATTTGAGTTTCTGACCACCTTGTACAATGGTAGCAGCTACATCAAAATAACATGAAAATAAAATTAAGATAGCAGCTACATCAAAATAGAATCAAATTTTCATAAAACTAAAGACAAAATAACAATTTCATATACAAATATAATATTGATAACAAACATTTTTCCATATAATTTCGTTCACTTAAGGCTCATTCAAATGTAGAAAGGATTATACAATTTTCAGCCTTTGTTTTTATGTTTACTTTATTTAACTAGACTTTTTCCCAATTGTATCAGTCCTAATTATTCAAAGTAAATATATTGTACGCGTAAATAAATCATATGTAATTCAGATGTATACTCCACGAACAATTTAAGGTCACATTTGAGCATGTTATACAATCATCAAACAACATGTTAGAATACACTATTTAAAATCATATGTATTAATACAAAAATATTACATTTCTTTCAAATATGAAATCGTATTTTCCCACCATATATAGTTACATTTTGGTGTGTCTTTATTTCATTTACGAAGTACATTCATCCATCTTAAAACCAAAACAAATCCTATGGTAGAAATAACCCCTCGATTATACATGATAACACAAATAGCTACAATTAACAAAAAAGAAAAGAAGCAATTGTCAATAAACATCATTCATGTTCATGAATAAAAAAGTAAATAATTTTTCCATTTAATATTAACATTTTCAATTACAAAAGTTTTGTAAGCTTTTATTTTTAAATTTTGATGACCTATTTTCTTATTATATAACAAAAGCTAGCCCATATGTTCACCAAGGCCCAATCTGTGTATAATTAGGCCCTACCTCCCATGAACCAAACTTCTTTTCGGGAACCCGGTTTGACATCTAAATACCAAAAACCGGTTTAAGTAAACCGGTACGCACCGGTTCAAGATAATCCAAAGAAACAACGACAAATACAGTATATGACTTGTCTTGACAAAACCTTTCGCTTCTATCGATAAAACTTCAGATATTACAAAAGAAAAAAAGAAAAAAAATTAAAAACACAAACTTTTTTTCAATCTGTGCGCTTTTATTTTCCCCAATCAAAAACCCTAATTCCTTCTTATCTTGTTTGATTTTGGTTCTTTCCGTTTAATTTAATTTTATCCCCAAAAAAAAAAAAAGTTTGCATTTTTCACTCTTCTACCTCAGTTTCAGATCTTCGATTCCGCCATTTTTGTTTCTTCTTCTAACTATTATGCGAACTCAGTTTCGTTCTTCGTGATTCCTAAATGACAATGATCTTCTTCTCTAAGCTTGGTCGCTCCATTTCTCGTTCAAGGGTCTGTTTCATTTCATTGATTTCTTCTCAGATTCGTTCTCAATTTGTGTTTTTTCTTTTTCGGATACTGAGTTTTGGTTTTGTGAAATTAGGGAGTTTTGAACGGTGGTGGTGTTAGATCGGCGGTGTTAAACGAGGCGAGGTTACTTGCTCCGTCAGGTCTTGAGGCGGCGTCTGTTAATCAAGTGGAAGGTGGATTAGGGTTTTTGAGGCGGCACTTTGCTTCTTTAGGTTCTCGGAAAGGTTTAGTCAACAATGATTTGATTGGTGTTTTTGCTAATCCACGACTTCGTAGATTCTTCTCTGATGAAGCTCCTAAGAAGAAGAGTATGTTTGTAAAAATCTTAGCTTGAGATGTTAGTTCTAAATTAGTGTTTTTGTTGTGTAACATTTTGGTGTTTTGTGTAGATTATGAGAACTATTTTCCTAAAGATACAAAGCAAGAACCCAAGAGTGATCAGAAATCAGATCATAAAGGTGAGAACAGAGTTTATTACCTGATTTAGGAATTTTTATTTCTTGTTTTTATTCTCCCTTTTCTTAGAGTGTTTTTGGTTTTGCGTTTTGGTATAAAAGTTAGAAATGAAGTCTTATTTGTGAGAAAGAGCTTTGGAGGTTTAGGAAAAGCTATGTGTTTTGTAGAGATTATTCTCTTTGGTGTTCTGTGTTGTTGTGTTCTTTTATCTAATAAGAAATCCTTAACTCTACCCTAATACGAAATGCGAATGCAACTTGTGAACAGTGTTTACAGAGGAAAAGTGAGTAGGATTCTGAGTTTTGTTTGTGAGGTAGTTGTAATTTGTCAACTGTTTACTTTGTGTTAAAAAGCTTAGTCAACTAAGATAGTTGATCAATAAGATTGTTAGTGATTTTATATGTTGCATTGGAAATGACCTGAGATGTGTCTTGTTACTCTGTTGAGAGATAGGCATCTAGTGATGTATTGGGGAAGTTAGAGATCTATTGATTGTTTTGAAGACAATATGGAAGTTCGAATCATCTGTATGCCATTGTTTTTACTTTTAACGCAGTCTGGATTCTCTCCAATGAAAGTAACCTTGCTTTTTAGGTGTTATGGCCAGTATTTGCTTAGCTAAATAGTAGAATTAAAAGGCATGAGTCATTTTTTAAACAACCTAGCTTGTGAAGATACTCTTCCTGTTTTGATACCTGTTGGTGCTAGTGAAAGATTCTAATAATTGGATATGTTTTGTTGCATTACAGAGGGCTCAGATAAGAATGAAAATGAGAACGTGGGAGATATGTTCATGAATCGATTCCAAAATTTGCTAATTCCTCTACTAGCTCTTGGTCTGTTCTTTTCTTCCTTTTCGTTTGGCCCTGGGGACCAACAACAGGCAAGCATATATAAACTAAGCTTTGTGATATTCTTGGATGGAACTGCAGATTTGGCCATGCTCGTATGTTTTCCACTAATATCCCATGCTACCTTTTGTTTCAGATTAGTTTCCAGGAGTTCAAAAACAAGCTTCTCGAGCCTGGTCTAGTTGACCACATAGATGTTTCAAACAAATCAGTAGCAAAAGTCTATGTGAGGAGCTCACCGAAAGACCATCAAACAACTGACGTTGGCCAAGGCATTCCTGCTAAGAGAACTGGTGGTCAGTATAAGTACTACTTCAATATTGGTAGTGTCGACTCTTTTGAGGAGAAACTTGAAGAAGCTCAAGAAGCATTAGGTGTTGATCCTCATGAATATGTTCCTGTTACATACGTCTCTGAAATGGTCTGGTATCAAGAGATCATGAGGTTTGCACCAACTTTATTGCTCTTGGGTACACTTATCTATGGGGCAAGACGGATGCAAGGCGGATTGGGTGTGGGAGGAACCGGTGGAAAGAATGGTCGTGGAATTTTCAATATAGGAAAGGCTACAATAACGAGAGCGGATAAAAATTCCAAGAATAAGGTTAGGAATTTACCTTTCTTAAGATCCTATTTGAACGTACAAACTGATTTTTCTTATTCTTGCTATTTTCTTCTGCAGATATATTTTAAGGATGTTGCTGGATGTGAAGAGGCTAAACAAGAAATTATGGAGTTTGTACATTTCCTTAAGAACCCAAAGAAGTATGAAGATTTGGGGGCTAAAATCCCGAAAGGTGCGCTTTTAGTAGGCCCACCTGGAACCGGGAAGACCCTTTTAGCAAAAGCTACTGCAGGGGAATCGGGTGTGCCGTTTCTGTCTATATCTGGTTCAGATTTCATGGAGATGTTTGTTGGTGTTGGGCCTTCGAGGGTGAGACATTTGTTCCAAGAGGCTAGAGCATCTGCACCGAGTATTATATTTATAGATGAGATTGATGCAATTGGTCGGGCAAGAGGACGTGGGGGTTTAGGCGGTAACGATGAGCGTGAGAGCACTCTGAATCAGTTGCTAGTTGAGATGGACGGTTTTGGTACAACCGCTGGAGTTGTGGTTCTTGCTGGGACCAACAGACCGGATATTTTGGATAAAGCTTTGTTACGGCCTGGCCGGTTTGATCGCCAGATAACCATTGATAAACCTGATATTAAAGGTCGTGATCAGATTTTCCAGATTTACTTAAAGAAGATCAAACTCGATCATGAGCCATCGTATTACTCTCAAAGGCTTGCAGCTCTAACTCCTGGGTTTGCTGGTGCTGACATTGCGAATGTCTGTAACGAAGCGGCTCTTATTGCTGCTAGACACGAAGGAGCAACGGTTACGATGGCCCATTTTGAATCTGCTATTGATCGTGTTATTGGTGGTCTTGAGAAGAAAAACCGGGTAAATGATTTCTCCTTGATAATACTCTTGATGTATTCTCTGCTTTTTCCAAAAAGCTTGGAAATGGAATTCTGAATGTTTTTATTATGAACAGGTCATAAGCAAATTGGAGCGTCGTACAGTTGCATATCATGAATCTGGGCACGCGGTTACTGGGTGGTTCCTGGAACATGCAGAGCCATTGCTGAAGGTGACTATAGTTCCACGTGGCACAGCGGCGCTCGGGTTTGCACAGTATGTTCCAAACGAAAACCTTCTCATGACCAAAGAGCAACTCTTTGACATGACTTGTATGACCCTCGGTGGCCGTGCAGCTGAGCAGGTAAAATCCCTAATTGCTACCTCGGGAAATTTGAGACACTGTTTTAGTCCCGCGTCTCGAAATATAAATGAAATAGATTGAGACAAGATTTTCATTACCGAATTTCGGTTGTTCTACCCTCAATCGAAAATACAAGAGTAGGTTTGGTTGAAGATGTTTTAAGTTTCTGTTCCTTTTTTATCGCAGGTATTGATAGGAAGAATCTCAACGGGTGCCCAGAACGATCTAGAGAAGGTGACAAAGATGACATACGCGCAAGTAGCTGTGTACGGTTTCAGTGACAAGGTTGGACTGCTCTCGTTTCCGCCAAGGGACGATGGCTATGACTTCTCTAAACCATACAGCAACAAAACCGGTGCGATCATAGACCAGGAAGTTAGGGAATGGGTGAGCAAAGCTTATGAGCGGACCGTAGAGCTTGTCGAGGAACACAAAGAGAAAGTGGCTGAGATCGCGGAGCTTTTACTAGAAAAAGAAGTCCTTCATCAGGATGATCTTTTGAAAATTCTAGGTGAACGTCCGTTTAAGTCGGCAGAGGTGACTAATTATGACCGGTTTAAGTCTGGGTTTGAGGATAATGAGAAGGACTCAACCACCACACCGAGAGTGGAGCCTGTTGTGGATGAAGGAGCTCCTCCGCCGCTTGAACCGCAGGTTGTTCCGACGTAAGAGAAACGTCACTGTTACAATTGTAAATTTTAATTAAGAATGCAATAACACAAATCCAAAAGAAAAAGTACTCTTAGGAACTTTGTTAGCAATGAATATTTTAATTTGTGTTCTAGATTATTGCTTCTAATAAGATTTTGGGTTAAAATTGCAGTTTGCGTATTGTAATAATTGACTGATGCTATTGTTAATCTTCCAATATTTTTTTAATACATCACTGTCAAAAGCTTAAGTTTGATGAAATCATTTTCCTAAACATCCCAAGCTCCCACTCGGTCGATGAATGAGGGAGCTTTGTATAGATTGAGAAAAAAAAAACTATAACCCTTAAAAACAAAGCTATCAGAGACATCTATGTTATCCCGAGAGTCTTTGTAGTGTAGGTTCCAATGTATGAATGCTTAAATAGATAAATATCGTCAGCAGAACCACAGAGACATATGATCAATGCCTTGTTTTAACCCTGGAGTGAGTATTTCTTTCCTGTGAACACTTGAAACTTCGCTTCATCGGATTTTGTTGAACTCTCTTGCTCGATGTTCTTTGGATCAAGCTATATACATTTAGAAGTCATATAAAGACGATAAGTTAGCTTCAATGGGTGACTCATTAGACACATGAATGGAAAATATAGAGAAGAAAGACATACTTTCACATTTTCTTTTGCAGTTGGTTTGCTGTTTGAACCAAAGACAAGCTTCCCTGATCGTTGCCGTGGTGTGGTAACTGACAGCTTCTCATCGTCTTTCCTATTCTCAGTTGGCTTTTCCTGCTGTTTTGTATCTTCTGATTCAGTTTGTGGTTGTGTTTTTCCATCTAAACGTTTTCCTGATCCAGTGAACGGTGTAAATTTGGGAACTTTGCTTGTTGGTTCCTCTTCCTCAACTGCAAGGAAGAGAGGAGAAAACATATAAGTAAAATGTGAGGCTAATATTTTGCGAAAGAACTCAGCAGAGAATTTCAAATGGACGCAAAGAAAACCTTCACGAGACCGTTTAGTGGAGGGAGTCAACTTTTGTGGCTTCTCAGGTTCTTTGTAATCAAGAGGAGGAGCAAAATCGACCTCACAATCCGTTTCGATAATACTCACAGCTGAAGAAGGCTTTGCTTCTAATACATTGATAAAATATTGCTTGTTGTTATAAGGAACCATAATAGTATCACCGGTGGTTAAGCACGAGTAGCTTCTAAGAGTAGTCTCCAAGCTGCAAAAAAGCAATGTAAGAAAGATAATTCTTCAAATGCATAGCTTGAAAACCCCGAAACATAGATGTTCAGTTTAAAAAACTACAAACATGGCTTTAGGATTGGAAATATCCAAGAAGTCTTGAGTATGAGGCTGTAGCTTAATGTAAGTCCCTTTTACCAAGCTGATATTCTTAACTTGCAAAAAATCTCCCTCTTGAAGAGACATGTTTAGCATCATCTATAAGTAATTGCCAACAAAAACAAAAGATGATCAGATCAAGAAACTAGCAAAAGAGAAAACAAAGACAAGGAAGATATAGATAAGGGTATATATACCCAATACGGCAAGTAAACTATCCCTTCGTCTGCAGTAAATTCCAGTACACCGCAATGCGAAGTCTTCCCAACAGAATCATTACTCAGTCTAAACAGCATTGGGTATTCAATATGCAGAGAAGCTGAAAAGATTGATTCAGAGACCAGTGCTTATATTCGAAAGAAACTACTGAAGATGATAGTAAAAAGCTCACCAAGACGATCAAGAGCAGAAGGAGGCATGATAACTGCAGAGATCACAATATGTCAGAGAAATATAAAAAAACAGCTCTTAAGGAAACTATCTAAAGAGACTAAAGGGAAGAGAGTAGTGAGTAATATACTTTTGTCACCCTTCTCAAGATGTGCCTGGATTAAAGAAATGTCTAATATTAGAATCGTTTGCTTTCACATCAAAGAGATCAGATAACAAAATATTAAAAATCAGACCTTGTCAATGAACATGACTGGGTAACAACGGTAACACTGCTCGAAGCTAGAAGCATCTCCACCATTCATATCTCTCCACTGCCACAAAAATCACCCAAAACAAAAAAAAAAAAACACTTTTTTTCTAAACACACAACAACCCATTGAGGCAAATCATCGAAAACCTTGTGGGCACAAATAAAGAAGAAAATTTCAGAACCATATTCAATGGTTCAAATCCGAATATTTAAAATTGACAAAACTCAGTTCAAAGTTTCAAACCCATAAAAGATCTCCGCAAAACAAAAAGCAAGATTGAGCTAAATCCGTGAATCCTGGACCAAATTAAACGAATCCAGATTGATTAAGCTACTTAACAAGAAAAACAGTGATGATCGGAATAATCGTGAACACTTTTTTTTTGAAGCCAACAGAGGAAGAAGGAGTAAAGTTTAGCTAGAGTTTGATTGATCATCAGTACCGTTACCGTACCGATCCGATTAAAGGGTTTTTGAAGCTTGAAGATCGTATAAAGAGCTTCTTGCTTCTCTAGTCAATGGGGAGCAGATCGGAACTGATAAAGTTTGTTTTGATTTGCTGAGAAGAAGAAGAAGAAGAAGGAGAAGAAGGAAGATACACTTTTATAGGTTTTAACGGGCCGAAGAAACTGGGATCGTATCAAAGTAAAAAGTAATCATTATACACGTGGCGTACAATCATTGGTTTAGTTCGTACCTGTTTATCCTACGTGGATTTTAATACAATAGGTTTTTTTTTTTATTTAGTTATTTACCGAACAAATGTTTATACAAATAATTTTATTTTTCTACAGAAAAATATATTGAGAAATTATGTTTTGTGATGGGTAAGCAAGAACCAATAAGGGGATTGAATTGAGGTTAAGGATGATGATGCACAAGTGGAGAGAAGAAGAAGAAAGTCAAAATTAAATCAAACTCTCTAAAAATGTGGATTCAGAAAAATTAGTTTTAGAATAGGTTTTTATATGATTTTGTATGAAGAATGATTGAGGAAGCTATTGTCTGTTGATTATAATTTAAACTATAAGATCTGGATATTTGTATATTTGTACAAGAAATTAAATTATGCTTAAATTATTGAGAAAGGTAATGAATTTGGATGTACTTCTAAATTTATTTGTTTGATAACAACATATTGTAATTAGAAGAAATTTCTGGAATACATAACATAGGATTTATCATATTAATAGTTTTTTTTTTCAAATGTTTGATTAATTACACCTCTTTACATATTTTGTTTGAATAAGTTTTGGTTTTTTTTTTTCCTGATAAAACTCTTTTGATTTTTGTTAAATAGAAATTAACTACATTATATGTTTTTAGTTGGTTCCAGAATAGTTGTAAACTCTTTATAAAACAAAAACCTACAGGATTGATGGAGACATTACTCTCGTTGCTTAAGTTACTTGAGACTTTGTTTTCATATCTAGGTTTATGTTTCACACAATTTCTGATTGTTCACTAAGTGCGGTAGATAAGACATTATAAATCCTTCACTTCACATGTGAGATAAATATTTCCTTATTTCGAAAATGTTTTCAGCAAAATTAATAATGTATGAATCTTAGTAATTTTGTTGAGTGGCACAGTAGCCAAATCATATATGCTCAATGTATGTTCTATAATCAAATATTTGAATGCATTACCTTTCAATATTATTCATTGTTTAAGAATTTAGGTATATGAATAATATTCTCGTGGTGACCAAAAAATATAAATTTATAAATAAATAAATAACATAAACCTTATAATTATTGAATTGAGCAATCTAAGTACATGTATATTTTTGCTGAAATAAATATACTTAGATTGCTCACTTAAGTTATGAAATTGTATTTCCATATACTTATGAATTTGTATTACAGTTTGCAACTTGTTTGGCATACCTCATACGTAATTGTTTTGCTATCTTATCATTATTTTTGTTACAAAGATTGATTCAGATTTTATAGTAGGTTGGAATAATTGGTATTTGGGCTTGAAATGTGATGGACCCAATCTAATTGAGTTTCAATCCATTGGGCTTGAAATATGAGAGTTTCAATCCATTAAAACGATTTGGCATATGACAAAACTTACACGTAGAATGAATTTCTTATTAGAATTTATAAAATATCAAAAATCATGTTATCTTCTTATCTTTAAAAGTATGTTATTTTACAAAAACTTCGATGGAATTATTATTAGCCCTGGGCAAAATATTCGTTAGATTCGCTTCGCTTCGATATTCGTTTCGATTCGATTCGAAAAATTCAAATATCTATAAGATATTGAACCGAAGCAAATATGAAAATCTAGTATTCGTAAAAACCGAAGCAAATAACAAATATTGATTTTTTTAGTACTGAATATCCGCTTCGCTTCGTATATATGTATAAATATAAATTATTATATAATACATATAATATATATAATATGTGTATTTATAGATTTGGGTATATATCTGATAAGCCTATTATTCAAATTATTATATTTTGGCTCGTTGGGTTTAGTAGAAAAATCATTATTAAAAATAAAACGTGAGAATTCTATGGACGGTGGTTATATTTCCTTCTTATTTTGAAAATATGTCAAATAAAAACCTCTAATATTTCATATTTTGCACTTTATATTTATGTACTATATGTTTTTTGTTTCAAAAAAAAATTAGATGGGTCGAAGCGAAGCGAAGCAAGTAATTCGCAAATATTACGAAAAATATTCGAATATTCGAAGTTCCGAATACTCGTAAATTTACGAATCAAAGCAAATAGCAAAATCAACTGTTCGATCGAGGCGAAGCAAATAACAAATATCACAAATTTTCCGAATATTCGCTTCGTGCCCGGGGCTAATTATTATATGCCTCTGGTCCATTTTTCGAATATCATATTGTTTCCTCCTCATTAAAAAATGTTTGTAAATGAAAGATTGTATTGTCAATTATGTTTGTAAATGAAATATTGTATTGTTCACTATTCATGTTGAACTTTTTTTTATACAAAAAGGAGACTTGAGAGCTAAGAATTCTTGTAAACCTATCAGATGTTTTCCTATGATTACATGATTTTTGTAACAAAACTACGAAACAACACTTACACAGGAACCCAACAAGAAGAAGCGTAGAGAGTTCGACCTTTCCAGCCTTGTAACAACCATTTACTATTTTCATCAACCACAAAGTCTTTATGGTAACCCCATTTCTTCAACCTTTCCCTAAACAACTCTACCATGTCAGCTCTAATCGGTTCCTGCCTAAACCCGGCCCTAACCGTTCTCACTTGCCACTGTCTGTAAGTCTCTGGCCTCTCGACCCGATCAGCTTCCTCGCATGCTATCACGTTCATAGCCTCTCTCCCGTAAAACTCCCTCTCGAACCTTATTCTTTCTTCGTTATCCCGAGGCAGAGTAGAATCAAACATGTCGAAGAGAGCAGAGTAATGGTAAACAGCTTCTTTGAACCGTGAGATGAAGAACGGTGCGTTGAACGAACCGTTGACGATTGAGTGGATGAAAACGTTGGGGTTCATGTTTCTTATCAGCTTCAAGACAGCGTCTCTCGGGCAGTTCTCTTCGCTTCCTGTTTCGTCTTGAAGGTTCTTGAGCCTGACTCCCGCAGTTACCGCTAAGACTTCGTTTGGTCGTATGTCGAGGTCTTCTATCCGGATTGTTTCCCAGTGTTGAGACGCAATAGCTTTGTACTCGAACGGTACATTGAACCGTTTACAATACTCAGCCAATCTCCGTCCTGTCTCCTCTATTCTTTCTGTCGGGCGAAACCCACGCTGAGGCAGCTCGATACCAGTAATCCGCAGTTTCCGCGGCGCATCTTGTCGTCTTGATATGTATTGAATAAACATCGGCCATTGAAACCCATAGAGAATCCCAAAATCAACAATATGAAGAACCGAAGCATCTTTAGACTTATCTAAAATCATCCTGAACGAGAAGAAATACATTAAGGTAACAAACGGAGACGAAGAAAGATAAACTCGGTACGCTTTAAGTGTATCCGAAGCAGTTTCCTTCAACGAGGTAATAGCATTGTAATAAGTCTGAATCATAGGACCTGTGCTTCCCTCTAAACGAGCCTCAAGCGCATTGGCAAAACAATGAGCAAGTCTCTGCCCCGCGTCACCAATAGGCGAAGATTGTTGCCTAATCTGCATCAGCAAATCAAGAGCCGTGGTTTTATCGCCTGTCGAAATAGCTTGCGCACATAGCGTGAGAAGCGTACGAAAATCAACCACCTGACTCTTCTTCTTCTTCTTCTTCTCCTTCTTCCCTTTCCCTTCTTGTTTATTACTCCGAATATCTTGAATCGTGCCGTCTAACAATGTTGGCGGATCGCATTCGCTGTCAAGAAGCAAAACCTTATCAAACACTTCAGTTATCTTCTCATCTTCAACATTAGTAGCAAACTGCTTACTATTCCTTACTTCCTCAAAATCAATAACTTCCCTTTCATGACTCCTCTTTACTCTCAACGGATCCAATCCCATCCCTTCTTTCACAAAATCGCGCCTTTCGGGTCTATCCGTTTCTAGATTGATAAGCCATTGGTCACTATTGGGAAGGAACTTACTAGCTTCTTCAACCCCTTTCCTAAACTGCAAAGCTGAATCTGCATCACTAAACATACTCTTCACCACAATCTCATCCACAGCTGGACCAATGAGCAGATCAGGGGAATGAACAGATTCGACTATACTCCCACTGGCATCTCCAGCACAGCTGCAACTAGTAGTAATGATGGAATCAGCACTAAAGGACTGATTTTGAGAATCTTCTTCAATCACTTGCTGGAACATTTCCTCTGTTTTCCGTAAAGCCAATGAATCATAGAACATAGACTGCTTATAATCACCATTACTCTCTTCCATAAGGATCTCACTCACATATTTCAAAAGCGTATTCTGATCTTCTACTGGATCAGATAGATAACTAGGGTTTGCATCGAAGCCGATAAGAGATTCAGAAAAATTGTGATCCATCGTTAAAACCCTAATCAACCCACATAGAAAAGCTTCTACACAGAAACAGAGAGAGAGAGAGAGAGAGTCAAAGGCTGATGAAATCAAAAAGATAGAATTAAAAATCCAAACTTTATATTCGAGAAGCTAACAGAAATTGAAATGGACATGTGAGAGAGAAGAGAGACACACGGGAAACACGGAGGGGATTGATGTCATCGCTTACCTCAGTTTTGAATGAATCTGATGTTGTACGAGGTTTGAAGTAATGATCTTTTAAATCATTGAGGCTTTTAAGACAGCTTCCGCTTCAGGACGGACAGACAGTGTCGGATGAAAGCTTTTAACGGGGGTTAAGAAGAAGTGGTTTAGAGAGAGACAAGTCTTTGCAAGACTTCGACTCATACCACAGGTGTTGAAAAAAAACTTTAATTTTTATGGTGGCGGCTATGTTGTTGACTCTGTTTTTTTTTCATGTTCTGTAAAGTAGGGCTTTGGCCCAAATTCTTTGTTTCATTGATTAAACCATCTATTGGTTATGGTTCATATATGATGAGATTACCACAAACTTCTTAATTTTTTTAATTTAGGTAAATATTCTAAGAACAAAGTAATTTGAAATTACATTCATATTTGTTTTCACTAAGCTTTATATTTTACAATCGTATACTAGATTATAACCTGTGCAACTGTGCTATAGTACAAGTTGATATAACATATATTACTGGTTGAATTTAATTTAGTACAAAAATTGATATGTTAAACAGTTATATTTTGTTAAATGACAAAAAAAAAAAAATAGTTATATTTTGTTACTTAGGGTATATTATTTTACCTAAGTGACCATGATCCAACATTTTCAATATACATTAAAATGTTACAAGTACAATATAGTTTCTTACATCATGGCATCATGCGTGGAGAATTTTTATGTCTCTCCTATGTCTTCTGTTACAGAAACCCTCCTCAAGAAGGCAAGAACACTAAACCTGTACCAATATACAAAACTAGATGTCATGTCTGAAATAAAGAAAGATACTATCAGCACAAAACCCTATATATATTGAATAAGCAACTTGGGATGTGAAGACAAAACACCGTCTACAAAGGAACCCAAACAGATGAAGCATACACTATCCTGCCTTTCCAGCCCTGAAGCAACCAGTTACAATCTTGATCAACATCAAACTCTTTAGTTTTGTATCCATTTTCCACTAGCAACTTCAGTTTCTGAACCAGATCTTTTTCCAGTGGAATCTGTCTAAACCCGGCTCTCATCGCCCTCGCCTGCCACTGCTTATAACTCTCTGGCCTCTCCACTCTCTCTGTTCCCTCACACGCCACAACGTTCATGATCTCCCTTCCGTAGAACTCTTTCTCAAACATTAACCTCATTGGATCTTCTCGTGCTAGGTTCGTGTCACACATGTCAAAGAGAGATGAGTAATGAAACAGAACTTCTCTAAACCTGGTGACAAAGAAAGGCGCGTTGTATGATCCGCTTAGGATCCCGGGCATGAACACGTCTGGTTTTATCTTCCTTATCAGCTTCAGAACCGCATCTCTCGGGCTATGCACTGCCACCGTCTCATCTAGGAGGTTCCTAAACCGAAACAACGAGTTTACAGCTACAAACTCTCCATCTTTTAGCTTCAAGTCCTCCAACTTGATTGTTTCCCATTTCTGTGCAATTGCATTGTACTCAAATGGAATATGGAACTTCTCACAATACTTAGCCAAACGATGACCCGTCTCAATAACTCCCTCGGCTGGTCTAAAGCCGCGTTGAGGCAGCTCTATACCGGTTATCCGAAGCTTACATGATGAACCACGTCTCCAAGCAAGGCGATGAATCAGAGAAGGCCACTGGAAACCATAAGATATCCCAAAATCTATGATGTGGATGGTTTTGGTATTGGCAATCGAAGCCAACCGCATAATACTGTGGTTAGCGAATATGATTGCAATTTTCTTGAACGGGCAGACCGATATGTATGTCTGGTAAGCTTTCAACATGTCGGAGGCAGATGTTTTCTTGGAAGACAAGGCGGTATAAACCTGAGTACCTATCCCAGCCAACCTTGCTTCAAGACTATTAGCGAAATAATGAGCCAATCTCTCTGTCCCATCGCCATAAGATGAAGAATGTTGCCTAATCCGACTTAACAGATCATCAGCAGTTCTACGATCATTAATCGAGACAGCTTGAGCACAAGAAACCAACATAGTCCTTAAATCAGGTGTCTCTTTTGTATAAGCGTTACCACTAGCTGCTGGTTTCTCGCCTTTTTGACTCTTACTAACCGATAAAGCTTTCACAGGTTCTTTCGAGAAACTCTCGTTAAGAATGCATACCGGTTGTTCCTCAGCCTGGCCAAATATCAGAATCTTGTCAAACATATCAGTCAGCTCAGCTTCATCAACATAAACAGCTGGTTGCTTCTTACTTCTTTCTTCAGCCAAATGTTCATCTTCGCGCCAATTGCTTTTCTTCCCGGTCAATCTGTAAGGAACAGAGTTATCCTTCTCCGGGATGAAATTTTCGACATCTATAACCAACTGAGAACTCTTAGGAAGGAACTTACTAGCTTCCTCCATCCCTTTCTTGAATTGTAACGCCAATTCGCTATCGTTAAACATATTAGAAACCAAATCATTACTATAACTTGACCCGAAAACCGCATTACCGCCACCGCCACCAACAACAGACTGTGGACTGGTTTTAGTAGAAGTGGACTGAAAAACGAAGTTACTCGGAATCGGTGTCTGCAACCAAGAAGAAGGCCTATTATTCTCCAAACAATCAAAACTCCATTGTGAATCAGAGGAAGTACTGGTCGTGGTGCTTGAAGCATAAGAAGAACTACTAGGGCTACTAACCAATTGAGCAGGTCTAGTAGTAGGAACCATAGGCTGAGAATCATCATCTGGCGGGTACTTTTCGCCTAGAGCTTCATAGAGAGATTTCTCAGCTGCTTGAAGAGACAAAGCATCATGAAACATACAAGGCTTATCTTCAATGTCTTCTTCCATAAGTACTTGGTTTATGTATTGCAAAACCGAATCAGAGAAATCAGCATCAGCAGAAGCAAGGTGCTGTTGTGAATACGGCTCTGGAGGAGGAGGAACGTCAAGAACAGATCCAGTATCTAACAAAGGTTGATCATTTAGATAAAATCCATTTCCTAAACCAGGAAAATCAAACCAGTACTCCAATGATCCAGGGAAGCCAGCCGGGTAAGAACCCATATTTGTGAAATCAAGAACCCTAATAAACCCTAAAAATTGTTCCACAAGAAAACACAAAAAACCTTATTATCTTCCTAGTCTCTGACACACACAAAAAAAACCCTCTGTTTATAGGTTGAATCTTTTTTGCTTTCTTGTCCCTAATCAAGATTAAAAACAGACAATCTAATCACAAGTAAGGTTAAGGATTGTTCTTTTGTAAGAAACAATTTAGAAGCATACCTGTTTTGGGTATTAAGATGCAACGATGATTATTCAGAGGCTATGGAAGAAGAAACCTTTTGTGTCGATCTGTGTAAGTGGTGAAGACTAAGTAATTGTTTATGTATAAAAACCATAGAAGAAGAATAAGTAGATGAACGATACAATTATTTAATCACTACTTTGTCGTCTTTATAAGAATCATAAATCCCACTCGGGGGATCATGAAACTTCCTTAGCCATTTCGGACGTTCTTTGAATAATATAATGCGTAACAAATTATACAATTCTGCAGTTTTGTGTTAATTTTTTAGTCTGTAAATTAGTTAATTTAATGTTACATTACAAGACGACGAGTACTAGTTATGATTCAAGTAACAATCGTTTTGTGAATTTATATAAAAATTTATCAAAACAAGTTTTTGTGTGTGAGTGTGTGACATTGGTGATACTTGTCCTAAAGATAAAAAAAATGGGTGGAATCCACCGACCGACCTAATATTGAAATAGGTGTGAATGTGAAAGATCTAAAGAATCAAAGAGGATAGATGTGTGATAAAAGTTGGGATTAAAGTTAAACCTACGTAAGAGTACATAAGAGTTTATAATAATTTAAATCAAATATTAGGATTGGATCGGTGACAAAAAGTGGATGATTTTCCAATGTTTAATATATATTTTTGACTTTATTGTTCATATCACCAATTATTTATAAAAGAGCAATTTCCATAAATAGTTTTTCTTTCCAAAAATACAACAACACTAAAACTAAATTTTTAACATTCACAATTAAACACTAATCCATACTCTTAAAAACTATACCTTAAATCTAAAATATTCAACCCAATCAAAAAACTAATAAGATATTACTCCCTTCAAAATCAATTTTGTTTGTTTGTGGTATTTAAACAAAAAATAAAATCTTAAAGTGTTGTACTTTGGAAAAATTCTTCTTAAAAGAAATATATTTTAGTACTAATAGGTAAATCCCAAATAAAAAAAAACTAAAAAGGAAACCCAACAAATATAAAACTACTACACCACACATGCATGACAATACTTAAAAAAAAAAAAAGAGATTGTTTTTTTTACTTATTGTTATTCTCGTTTAATAAATAAATACCGTTAAAGAGAATAACTTGTATAATTATTTAATTCTACTTTTTTTTTTTGCATATACAAAGGGCGCATTACCTTTAAAATTAGTTTATTTGTTCAATAGTTATCCACTTATTGAAATTGAGGTGGTGACATTGTGAGATATCATGTATATTTAAACACGCATTGTACACACTAACCATATATATGTATAACACTTAAACTATGATTAGATTACGTTTAGCCTTAGTGGAAACTCAAAAGTTGCGAATGATAAGTGTATTTCCATTATATAATTTGCTTTTAGTTATCATTTGATTTAATTATGTTACTAAGTAATCTTTTTAATTCAATTATCTAAATGGTTGGATTTACAACTAATTACTTTTTTTTTAATTGTATGCAACTTAAATGTTTTGTTTTAAAAAGAAGAATTTAGATGAAATTAAAACATCTAAATTTATGATAAAAATGTTAATAGAACAAAAACTTTGTTCAACTTTCTCTTAATCTATGTTTTCATTAATAGAGACGATGGTTCATACATATGCAGTAGTAAATCAAGAAGTAGAACCAAACAATGATCAGAAAGAAAGATCCACAAGTGCATGATCATGTTAACTGAACAATCTTTCTCTTCTCCAAAGGCATTCCTAACTTTCTACAGAGTAAATTAGACGTTTAGTGGTAGTATCAGCGGCACAATTGGGAACACAACTGCTCAATCCGAGACTGTATATCGTTAGATAGCTTGTACATCTCCGTTCTCCCATTCGCGATACATGTCAAGTTCATCTGCTGCCCAATTTGGCTCGACTGCATCAATTCCACAATCACTCTCAGGTTACTTAAAACTCGAAAACAACAAACTAGATATGTATATAAAGAGCATAAGTAGTTTTTACCTGACAGTAGACATTATGAGATTTACAGCTCCATAGCGACGTAGGAATACAGCTGAGATAATGGCACCATGAACAATGCTTGTTTAAATCTGTCCCTTGAAGAAGCACTATGAGTCCAACGGTATACCTGACACCATATTTTCATAAACTTGCATTAAAGAACTGAAATGGAATCTGTATTTCATATTGTTGTCACATTCATGGTGAAAAAAAAGGAGAAGCATACCCAGCTATCAAAAGTATTAAAGAGGTGATCCAGAGAATGTATTGGTATGGCTTGTGTTTGGATTTAGCCGATGGTGCACCATAACTCCGAGGATTGTTTCTCTGGTTGAAGTAGCCATACTGAGGACGGATCAAGAAAACAAAGCCTAGAAGAAACCCAGACGTGAATCCTCCAAGATGGGCAAAGTTGTCTACATGTGGAAGAATACCTACTGCTAAATTAATGGCTATGATGAAGATGAGAGTCAAAAGAGCTGCAAACTGCAAATGGAGAGAACCAATGAAGCTTTTCGACATATCAATCATGGATGGGAGAATTGTCATTTTTTTCTGCTTTTTTTTCTCTACTATTTGGCTACCTTATTTGCGTAAATGGTCCAGTTGGTAAGGAGTTCTGAAAGCATAGCACCAAGCAAGCCAAATAATGCTCCAGAGGCACCAACGGATATACCAGCTCGGTTAAAGAGAGAAGATAACAAACTTCCACCAAATCCAGATATCATATAGAGCATTCCAATGCGCACTGTCAAAGAAAAAATAAATCAAAAGACGATGATAATTTTCATAACTGTCAACGCAAAAAACAATAAAAGTAGCATCAACCATACACATTTTGACACATTTATCAACTCATAACCCAGTAACCTCACAGAAGTTCTAAACTTCCTTAATGGATTCATCTTTAATAAAGATAAAGGCTGAGAAACATAAGTTGCATACCAAATCCAAATTCTTGCTCAAGCCTGATGCCAATGAAGATAAGGCTCAACATGTTGGCAAGAACATGAAAAACCCCAGCATGTAGCCATATACAAGTGAACAAGCGCCACACTTGGTGTTTATGAACCACCATTGATACTTCTAAAGCCCCCATTCTCTCCAATCTGGTGTAAAACAACACATAATTGTAACACAAAAACCGAAAATTATCTACTCAACTAAGCACTCAGTAGTCCACAAGACAATTCAAAGTAAATATATACATGAAAAGAATGATACCTCATGTCTCCCAAAAAACTGAAAAGCTCGTGGTACTTACTACCAGAAACTATGCTAACTACTAAAATGCAAAGCCACAACTTTACCTCATGGAATCTGCCAATTCATATCACCAAAGTCTAAAGATCTAGAAAGGAGTAGCATTGATCAAAAAGGAGAAGTTGACAACATCAATAAACTACACAAAGTAATGAACTTTACTAAGAACCCATCACCATTTCAACAAATCTAACCATAAGGAAACAAAAACAAAGTGAACATTTTTCAAACTCAGAACACAAGAATCTGAACAACCAGGTCCAAATTAAGGAATCTTCTGGAATAAAATAAAAAAGATGAGAGCTTTAAGGTTACCCACGTATAAGAAGAAGGACCCAGAAGAGGATTCTCTTTCATAGGCTGAAAAGCGAATCTCCCAAGAAACCTAGCTGAGCAATTAGGCGAGTTCTTAGGACAATTGTTAATAAACATCGAAATGGCGAAAAGGGCAATGTTAGCCACAACGATAGCTGGAACAAGCCATGGAAACCAAAGCTTAAACGGCCTAAACTCAGCAAACGAAGCTCTCTGTTGTCTCCGAGACGTTTCCACAGACACATTACTCATCGTCGCCGCCGGTGGATCCACCACCTTAATCTCCAGACCTTCCCGCCGATCGCGAGCCATTTTTACCTGAAGGCCAAACTCTGGAAGAGAAAGGATCAAACTTTATGACATTGTTGTTCTAAACGAAGACGAAAAAGCAAAGATGAATCTATCGTCTTTCCTCTTTTGAGGCATTTCCTTGTGAACAAGCTAATTAAATTGAGTTTAAGACAATTCTCTATAATTTAGGAAACATGTAATTAATTTTAGTATACTATATAGTTTTATTTTTTTATTTTTCTATAATCATATGAGTTAAGAAGATTCGATATATTAATTGCGTAACAGTAGCTATGTTGGATTAATCACATGATGAATTGTATATTATATAGTATTAGTTGTATAGTAGAGTTGAAAAATAGAAATTATTCCTTTCTGTTTCTTGTAAATTCAGAAAATATGTTCCTTTCCTTCGAATCCAAATGTTAAGTTTTGACTTAGCTTCTAAAACCGTCAAACATGTTTAAATAATCATACTGATTAGTATGAAACATGTAATAATTATTATAGACAAGATCTTGAAACGATGGAGAAAATTTTATCATATTCAGTTTTTTTTTTTTTTTAATTCTGAATTTGTACAATAGTTATAACTTATAAGTTATATATAACTCGAGGTTTATGATGGTTTCAAAAGAAAAGAGAATACCTTCTAGAAGACAAGTATTACGAAAGACTAGGCCTTACTATTTGAGAAATTAATTTGCAAACATGAAAAATAAGATATGACTTAAAAAAATTACAAAAGTTGAAGAATTTTAATAATTAGTTTCTATACATAGGAAATTAAATGATCATTTTCTTATATTACAAAAATAATAATTTCTAAATACTGCTAAACACAGTTTTTTTCGTTTATGGGTTCAACTACTAAAGACAAGTTTTATATATAAACAAAAAAAATTATATCAAGAAGGACGAAGAAGAAAGAGGTCTAGAGGATATATATGAAGTTATGTTGTGTTACATCACAACTACTTTGCTTCACAAGACTAATAGCTTCGAATTTCCAACGTTTGATTCTTCTATTGATAGCTTAGTGAAGTAATTGATTGTTGTATTTTGGCTTATCTTGATTTGGTAAAGATGAAGAATGAGAAGAAAAAGAAAAGATCTGTCGGAAAAAAAGAAAGAGAAAACCCAACCAAATAAGAAAGTAAGAGATCGGATCAACGATCTATTTCTCTATCGATAACTATCACATCGTATATATCAGAATTACACAAAACTTTAACCTCATCTTCAAACTACCCGAATAGATAGTTCTATTCCTACTTGCTTTTTTTTTTAACTTTATTTTGTTCGAAAAATTAACTGAGGAAAAATACTTAAGTTTATTTTTTATTGTTTTTCAATTAATTTTTCCAAACGAAATAAAAAATTTGGGATTGAGGTTTAGGTTGATTCAGTTCTAAAATTTTCAATTCAGTTATTTATATTTATCACAGGCCTATGCAAAAGATTTTGTTTTTTGACTTTATTAATTTTTAATTATAGATTTGGTAATGCAAATTTCACATATGAAGGTTATCAGTTAAACAAGGATAACTGCAAATACATGTGCCATCACCACCGTCGCGGTCACATCTGCTAAGTGTATCTTGTCCAAACCTAGACTTGCATGCTCCACTGCAGTCTGTAATGACACCACACGAGCCAAGAACTGCCATGCATCCCATATTTTCTTCAACTATAGAACCAACAAAACCGATCTATATAGTTAGATTAACTCAATATTAGTACAACTTAGGAGAATTAATACAACACTTCAAAAGAGACGAAGCTAAAACAGTATATTAGATCATATCTGAAAACTTTTAAGATATTGGTATGATCAGCAAATTAACCAAGTTTTTTTTTTTTTTTGATTAGCAGGAGGTTCGGGCCTTAGGCCGTAATCCCTGTAGGGTTCGGGGAAGACCATGTGAAAGTCCCTGGCCAAATGGAAATATCTAATGATTTCGTGTGAGGAGAATCGATCCCTAGCCTATACCAACAGGGCAACTCCTCACTCAAATGGAAACCACTAGACCAAAACCACTTGGTTCAAATTAACCAAGTTATGTTAAAATGTATACATATGGCTAAAATCCCAATGAATGTAATTCTTTTTCTAGTTAGAATATAAATGTATTTTCTTGTTTGTGTGTAAGAAATGTGAATATATTTTTCTGAAAAAAAACTTTGAGATAAAGAAGAAATCATAACAAAGAACTAAGTCACGAACTATAACCCTAGGAGCATATGTCAACGAAGAAAGCCCAACATTATTTTATGTAAAACTTTCAAATTTTTTTATAAATAACTATGCATCAATGCATGCATGATGCATCATATATGTTTATATATGAGAAAGTTTAAATATTTTCATGAGTAAATCTAGAGATTGAAATATATACCTAAGGCGAACATAACAAGGAAGATGATAGGTAGAACAAATGAAGAAGATGCCTTGGCCATAGCTATTAGTAATACTAATTGAGTAGTTTTAGTTGATAAATAGGAAGACTACCGAAAGGCTATGTATAGAACTGTGAGGTTCAAGGAATCCAGAAAAATAAGGATCTGGCAACAATTACTTCACATCAGTTACTATAAACCAACGCAGAACAAGGAAAAAGAGAACCAAAAAAGGAAAAAGTTAAATAGAGAGTCTTGATCAAATACATAATTAACATTAACATAGATTTTAATTTGCATGAGATTTGCTTTCGAGTGCAATAATGATGAGCCAGTTACGAAGTTGTAAAAGGGACTTTTTGTATTTTTGGCAGCAAATCAGCAATTAAGAAGTTCTAATTATGTGGCATGAGCACTTTAATTTAGGTGCATAAACACATATTAAGGACTAGAGAATCTTGATTATATTACATCACTATCCAAAATGTAATTAATTAACGGTTTCTTTATATTGTTTTTTTTGGAGAAAGACGAATAATTTCATTAATCACTAACAAAACACTAGACCTTTGAACGTTTCAACACCCTCCTAAATCTCAACCATCTCTTTGTAAAAAGACTCTTTCTCAGCGTTCGTATTAGTTTTCTAAATCTACGTACGTACGACAGATCCATCCATATTGTTCTAAATCTATTATTCAGACACGATCTTTCACGATTTCTTGTATTGCAAGTAATACGTTTTGGCTTTGGAGGTGAGATTTGGTTAATTAATGCATGAGAAAACCACAAAGGAGAGGAGGAACGATGGCGATGGAGAAGTCTAGCTCAAAGTACAGAACACAGTTCTGGTACGTTGCAATGGCCTCTTTCCTCCTCTGGCTTGTCTTGCTTTACCTTTTCAGTTCTTCCGCAAAAACCGTTCATAACCACGAGAGATTGTTCCGGCAAGAAAACATCATCGATCTCCCTGTCGAAAACGTCGCACAGAACCATGAATCTTATGAAGCTCCTGTCGTTGTCTCTGAGGCCATTTCCGTTGACAACAGCTCTCTTCCTGTCTCTGTCGATTCATCTCCCGTTGTTGATCAGATGTCAGAAGACAAGAAGGTCGTGACTGATCTCGTTGAGGAGCTCGAGAAAGAAAGGGTTGAGAAAGAGAAGAAGAGAGTTGATACGGTTGTAACTGGACGGTCATCGAGGACAAGGAGAGGAAATCGAGAGTCACGAAAGACGAGATCTTCGGGTAGATTGGAGGCAGATATGAAAAGGGTTCGTCGTAGTATTGATGATGATGAGAGCAATTTGGAGGAGAACAGTGTTGAGAATCATCAATCATCCGACAAAGAACCAAACTATTTCGAGTCTAAGACTAACGTGGAACCCAAGAAAGAACAAGTTGATGATAATGATGAAGACTTGGAAAACAAGAAAGGCAAGGAATTGGAGAATGATGGATCTGATAATGATCTCCAAGGTGATGATAACACCGCTAAAATAGTATCCAAACCAAAAACTCAGAGAAACTACGCGTCGAGTAACAGTACTTCCCAGGCCAAAACCAGAGTAAATACCAAGAGAAACCAACCTAAGAAAGATCAGAAAGTTATGCTACAGCCAATAGAAACAAGACGTAACGATCCATGTAAAGGAAAATACGTGTATATGCACGAGGTGCCAGCTTTGTTTAACGAAGAGCTTCTCAAGAACTGCTGGACATTGAGTAGGTGGACTGATATGTGTGAATTAACGTCCAATTTTGGTTTAGGCCCTCGTCTACCGAACATGGAAGGAGTTTCTGGTTGGTATGCCACGAACCAATTCACATTGGAAGTGATATTTCACAACAGGATGAAGCAGTACAAGTGCTTGACCAAAGACTCGTCTCTAGCTTCCGCGGTGTTTGTACCTTACTATCCGGGTTTAGACTTGATGAGGTTTTTATGGGGACCGTTCCCTTCCATGAGAGATGCCGCGGCGCTTGATTTGATGAAGTGGCTTAGGGAGAGTCAGGAGTGGAAGAGGTTGGACGGAAGAGATCATTTCATGGTGGCTGGTCGCACCACTTGGGACTTTATGCGTACACCGGAGAATGAATCCGACTGGGGCAATAGGTACACACCACCATCCTATTTGTTAAACTAGTGTCAACTGAATGGTATAGTATAGTTACTAGTGATACTATATTGTATATCAATTATGCTAAAACATGAAAAATTGATGAATTTTTATGTGTATGATAAAATAGTTAATTTGCATATGATCATATTTTCAAAACGTCAAAATATATAAAAGAAGTGGTCACTGTGGGATGACAAATTCATAATATAAGTTGAAACATTATATAGAATGTAACCACAAAATGGCTAATTAAATGGCTTAACTTAAAAAAGTTACGGAATGAAAAACTATTTTCTTGTTTTGACATTAATTCTTACGTATTAGAGAACAGTCATGAATGTTAGTTTTTGTTTTTGACTAGACAAGTTTGCTCATTGGTGTCTCTCTATCTACCTAGCCAGGTTAATGATCTTACCGGAAGTAAGAAACATGACGATGTTACTAATCGAGTCAAGCCCGTGGAACTATCACGGTTTCGCGGTTCCTTACCCGACCTATTTCCACCCTTCAACCTACGCAGAGATCATCCAATGGCAGATGCGAATGAGAAGAATGAATCGTCGTTACCTATTCTCCTTTGTAGGTGCCCCACGTCCAAACCTCGGTGACAGCATAAGAACCGAGATCATGGACCAATGCAAAGCCTCCAAAAGTAAATGCAAGCTTCTTGAATGCGTTTCAGGTTCTCAAAAATGCTATAAACCCGACCAAATCATGAAATTCTTCTTGAGTTCAACGTTCTGTCTCCAACCTCCGGGTGACTCATACACACGCCGCTCCACTTTTGACTCGATCTTAGCAGGCTGCATACCGGTTTTCTTCCATCCGGGATCAGCTTACGCGCAATATGTTTGGCATTTGCCTAAAGATATAGCGAAGTATTCTGTTTTTATACCGGAGAAAAACGTGAAAGAAGGTAAAGTGAGTATAGAGAACATTTTGAGTAGGATCCCGAGGACGAGAATTTTCGCGATGAGAGAACAAGTGATAAGACTGATACCGAGGTTAATGTATTTTAACCCGTTGAGCAAGAGCGAAGATACGGGAAGGTTTGAAGATGCATTCGATGTCGCGGTGGAAGGAGTGTTGCAAAGAGTAGATGGGTTAAGGAAGAGGATTGAGGAAGGGAACGAGGAGATCTTTGATTTCCCTGAGCAGTATTCTTGGAAATATAATGTGTTTGGGAATGTTGAGAAGCATGAGTGGGATTCTTACTTTGATAGGCCATGAATTGATTTTGTGTTTGATATGTTTTCAAATTTATTGGAAGAGTAGACATGTAGTTGTGATTGTGATGGTAGAAAAGAAGTCACGAGGCTCTTATTTTTTTGAATTAGTTTTGTTTGAACTTTATAAGGATTTGTTTCTAGATTGACCAAAATTTTGACAAAATTGTATACAAACTAACATTGCAAAACCAAATAAAATAACATAAGACACTTCAGAAAACATGCCATTGTGTATTGATTACATATAAATTGAAGAATTACAATCTAAATATTAGTTAAACTATCAACACAGCGTCTGTAGTCCAACGGTTAGGATAATTGCCTTCCAAGCAATAGACCCGGGTTCGACTCCCGGCAGACGCATTGCTTTTACCTGTTTTTGTTTTTACATTTGTCAAGACTTTCATATAATCGAGAATCAAGACAGAAGTTGTTCAGTATCAGTGAGGATTTTTATTCAAAATTTTGGAGAAATATTTAGTTTTAGAAACACATCATTGCATAATACTATCAGTCATATTACACAAAATGAGATACATAAAACTTAACAGCAACGAATGGAAACCACGAAAAGAATTCGAAAATCTACCAATGTTAGTTCCCATCTTTCAGAAAACAAAAGCTTGAAGGGCACAACGTAAATCGGCGAAACCATGATAGGTACGTTCTGCTAAACTTCTTCGGAGCAGCTCAAGCACAAGAGAGTGTGTCTCTATCAGAAGCTAGACAAGCTATACACCAGGATCCACGCAAGCTGAAACGTTATTCACCAATCACCACACCCAAATCAACTTCCAAGATTGTATGAAAATCGAGGGATTCTCTTATAGGGTAGAAAAAGAGAGAGGAAGGAAATATACATACCAGGAATAAGCTTAGAGAAGCAAATAGACCGTCCTGGAGCAGAGTTGCATGACCACCAAAGTCTTCTTCATCGATCTTTAGAATCAATGCATAGTAACCATATACTATGCCAGATGAGATCACCAGAAACCTGCCAAGTTTTATGGTCAGCAATGTAGACAAAGATTGTAAACTATGAACTGTATTAGACAAATTATTACGAAAGGCCTGCTATGTCGTGTGATTGTAACATAAAAGTCAAATTCTATAAATGCCACCGAAAACACTAGTTTATAATTTAGCTCATCGTAAAGACCTCTAACTAATCAATGCATAAAACAGATTTTGAACATTGGTGTTTTGATGGTAATTTAGCTCTGTTTCTCTTTTATAACAAACAACATTTTCACCTGATGTTACAATCCTACGAATATTATAATTCCAATTCTTCGATGTTATGCATCAAGCACAAAAGAGTTTTAAGCAGGAGATTTTAACTGTTTATAGTCATACTGTATATTGTAAGAAAACAACTTACAGAAGTAGCCATATGCCTCCAACCAAAGGTATCGCACCCCAAACCAATCCGCAGAGTAATCCAACCACTTGTCTTATCCAATGCAATACATCTCCCAGTTGATCCTATCCCAACAACAACAACCAAAAATTAACAAAACCGCTTGAAACGAAGCATTAACCAACACATATCATTGCTTTATTATCCATAAAATATTCTCTAAATAGATGTAGTCACAATAAGGAAACATATTCATTCCTTTTCGTTTTCCATAACAAGTTCTTATAGCCGTTGTGATACAAGATTGGCTAATAAAGCAGTGTTAAGGCACAGAGGAGAAGAAAAAGAACAACTTTACATCTCAATTACAATAGCTAGAGCTAATTATGAACACATTCAACTTAGAGCTCTCAATTGTTACAACTAATTGTTCACACAGAAGAAAGAACTCAACTTTCGAGCTCAACTGCTACAACAAATTAAGCCCATAGGAGAAAGAGATCAACTTTAGAGCTCTCAATTGCTACAACTAACTGTTCACACAGAAGAAAGAACTCAACTTTAGAACTCAATTGCCACAACTAATTAAGCCCATAGGAGAAAGAGATCAACTTTAGAGCTCTCAATTGCTACAACTAATTGTTCACACAGAAGAAAGAACTCATTTGCTACAACTAATTAATCCCATAGGAGAAAGAGATCAACTTTAGAGCTCTCAACTAATTGTTCACACAGAAGAAATAACTCAACTTTAGAGCTCAATTGCTACAACTGATTAAGCCCATAGGAGAAGGAGATAAACTTTAGAGCTCTCAATTGCTACAACTAATTGTTCACACAGAAGAAAGAACTCATTTGCTACAACTAATTAAGCCCATAGGAGAAAGAGATCAACTTGAGAGCTCTCAACTAATTGTTCACACAGAAGAAATAACTCAACTTTAGAGATCAATTGCTACAACTGATTAAGCCCATAGGAGAAGGAGATAAACTTTGGAGCTCTCAATTGCTACAACTAATTGTTCACACAGAAGAAAGAACTCAATTTTAGAACTCAATTGCTACAACTAATTAAGCCCATAGGAGAAAGAGATCAACTTTAGAGCTCTCAACTAACTGTTCACACAGAAGAAATAACTCAACTTTAGAGCTCAATTGCTACAACTGATTAAGCCCATAGGAGAAGGAGATAAACTTTGGAGCTCTCAAATGCTACAAATTGATTATGAACCAAAACGAACTCAAAGTTAAACAGATTCTACGATCGGTTCAATAGACCTATAGACTAAAGAAGACTATACCTTGTCCCAGGAAGCTTCGGAATCAAACAATTTGGCGAATTTGGAAGAACCCAAGTGACCGTTTTGGTGATAAATCTGTTCATGCTGGTCTTGATGATTCGACTTTGAAGCTTTGCCTTCTTTCATATCTTTTTCAGATCCGATTCAAAAAAAAAACCCAGTTCGAAAGATCCGATTTTAGAGTCAAAACCCTCCTCCGATTCGAGTAATATGAATCGGAACAGAGTCTAGGGTTCTTACTTCTTACTGATAATTTCTAAGTCTTTTGTTTTTTTTTTGCTTATGAGTTCTGAATTCTGATTCAGATCTCACCACCGGAAAAAAACACAAATATTAATTTTTATATTTTTTTTATATTTATCCAGTTTCTGTGCCACGCACGTGACAATAATTGAGCTGTAAAACAAAAAAAAACAGATCAGTGGAAAAAAACAGATCCGAACCCAAACCGAATCGAAGAAACTCAAAACCAAACCGAAATTGATGTACTAATCAATACTGCACTAAACTAAAAAAATAACCAAAACCAAAATGTACTTAAGAAAAAAAAAAAAAAAAAAAAACTTGCTCTCTTTTGGAGTTTTGTCTATATGTTCCAAATTTGAAATACTGTAAACACATAAACATTTATTCTGTTAGCGACTTAGCGTGCATCAGGGGTAACTTCGGTTCCGAGATTTATAGTCAAGTCTGAAATCTTTGAGTCACCATCATCTTGATGAATCTGTCCTGTTCTTGAATTCTCAGAGACCAAGCACTCTTTAAGTATGTTAACAACCTTAGACATGGTTGGTCTATCTGATGAAGACTGACTCACGCATGACATTGCTAGTTCAAGAATCCTCCAGATTGTGTTTGAGTCGTAATCTCCACCAAGGTTTGGGTCGACGATTTTTTCGATATCTCCTCTGCTTATAAGAATCTTTACCCATTCTGCTATATGAGCTTGTTCTCTTGTTAGCTCAATCACGGCTCGGTTTGTGATTATTTCTAGTAGTACTATACCGAAACTGTAGACATCACTCTTCTCGTTTAACCAATTTGTTAGGTAATATCTGCAACATAGTTAGATAGTTCATAATGAAGGTAAGAAAAAGTTGAAGTTATATATTTTTCTATGAATTCAGAGAACTCACTCAGGATCAAGATATCCAGGTGTTCCCGCAACAACTGTTGCCACTTGAGTTTCAGCTCCTACAGAAAATGATCTTGAAAGTCCGAAATCCGCGAGTTTGGCCTCGAAACGATTGTCTAATAGTATGTTCGTGCTTTTGACATCTCTATGAACCATTGGTGGCTCACATCCAACATGCAAATACTCTAAACCTATGGACAAAAAAGCATTCCATGTTGAGCCAAAAATATCTGAAGTTTAAGTACTAACTGAAAATGTTAAAGTTAGCAAGAATTAACCTTGCGCTGCCTCGATCGCAATTTTTAGTCTACTAGCCCATTTCAAAGTAGGTCCAGAGGATTCACCTGTAAATGAAAATGCTAAAATCCTTACATGTTTAAGATATAAGAAGTATTGATTCAGAGATGAACAATAAGGTCTTGTATTAATGTTCAAATTAAATTACCTGATAAATGTTGTTTAAGGTCTCCATTAGCCATGTACTCATAGATTAGTGCTAAATGCCCTCCTTCATCACAATAGCCAACAAGGCTTACCAAGTTTATGTGATGAACTCGTAGAAGAAGCTCCACCTTTTGAATCCATTTCATATATAAACAAATTTCTCAATAAGACATAAACATGTTTTTTTTTGTTTTCTGATCAAACAAGTGAAAAATGTTAACGTGTACCTCTGCCTTAAATTCCTTATATCCTTGAACTGATGACTCTGAGAGAACTTTAACAGCTACTGGTTCGGTATCACTCAAAGATCCATGGTAGACAACTCCAAACCCTCCTTCTCCAAGAACTGTTTTGAAGTTATCCGTAAGCTCAACCACTTCCGAATAAGCAAACTTTTTCTTTTTAGCAAAGATTGATGACTTTCTTGGTAACTCGCGTGTAGCAACTGTTGAGAAAAGAATCAAAAGCAATTATGTATCATGAAACTTACTAGAGTATTAAGCCTTTGTGTGCTTCTTGATTGATGAATCTATATACCTTTTGATAAGGGTTTTTTCTTTCTCAAAATAAAAATTAGAGCCAATAAGAGGATAAGAGCGACCACTGAAGCAACTGATGCAAGAACCGGCACTATGATTTTCTTGTTCTTGCACGAGTTTGAGAGACAGAGATTTGGGTTTCCTTGAACACTATATAGAACAAGAAGGATACTGAATACACAAAATCATCAGGAACAAAAACTGTTAGGGAGAAAGAAACTTACACCAATTTTAGTCCTTTCTTTTCTCTATCGCTAAGGGCTTGAGGAATTGAACCGGTTAAGCTGTTCCAACCTAAGTTTCTGTCAAAACAGAGAAGAACAGAGTATTTATATAAACATCATTCTTATATATATATGTGATGAAAACATAGGATCGTTTTATTTTCTACCAAGAAATAAACTTACATGATCAACAATGATTCCATGTTGGCTAAAAAGGCAGGCACTCCTCCACTTAGATTGTTGTTCGATAAGTCCCTACGAGTCGATGAAGATACACAATTAAGTAACAATCTAAGAGTTTCTAACAAAATAAATGCATTTTTAAGGATATTTTTATCTCACAGTTCTTGTAGATGTGTTAGATTTTGTATGCTAGGTGCTATGACCCCTTTTAGTCCACTTGATGATAAGTCTCTGGTTTTAAAACAGAACACACATCTTTAGAGAACTATACACTATTTTATTGTAAATGAAATATGTGATTACTTAGTCTTACAAGGAAATGATCCTTGGGGGAATAGAAGCATTTGTGTAGCTGCAGTTTATACCGTCCCATTTGAATAACCGAGGAACGCATGGATCTCCTTGCCAGTCTATTTTACTCAATTCGTAAGTAGCTCGGACATTCTGGACCGCAGCGACTGAAGATAAAACCGATATTAATATACTGAAACATATAGAAATATTGCCAAATTTAAATGCTAGTAAAGATTGACTAACCATCCTCTGGATTAGTTTCTGCATCCGGGAACTCAATAATCTGGTAAGCTTCCATAGCATTGATCAATGGTGGGAGAGTTGAGCTTTTAGTCCTAACCAGATCCACTGTACATTGCATAAACCTACACTTCATAGGTGATGTGTTGTATAGAGTCTCTAGCTGTAACTTCAGAGGTCGGTAAGCTGCGTTTGTAATGTTTCCATCGTTTCCTTTCCATATAATGTCGAACTCTCTTGTGTCATTTCCTTTAAGTGTTTGAATCTCAGCAAAATGAAGGTATATGAAAGCTTGATCCTCGCGGTTATCGACATACCAGTCGAAAGATAACTTCTCAGTCACGTTTTTGTTAATGACTGCCTTTGAAATGACTTCTTGTGGTAGCTCATAAGGAGAAGAAGAGTTTACGTTGAGACTTGTGTTTACGAAATTCAACCCAAAAGAAGGACTTACTGGTTTCCATTCACGGTCATATATATCTGAAGGATACCTGAAACGTTAAACAATAATTGTTAAAAGCTAATTGCCCCTTTTACACGCTTCTGTTACTTGTAAAGTAAGAAAAGTACTTAAGTTACCTAATTGATGGACCGAACAAATCACTAGCATAATAACGTTTTAAGAGCTTCAAGGAACCATTTGTAGTGATGTACGTGTCATCTCTCAAAGGTCTTAGTTCCAAAGCTGAAATGATTGGTGTAGTCTTCCCTGTTTTAACAAGACAAATCTGCAAAGAGCTCGACTTTGTGATATGTATGATTTCTTCCGTTCGAGAAACTATAGAGGTTTTTAAATCGACCGTTGTCCATATATTAGGACCGAGATACATATCGAATATCGGGCCACTATTAAGCCCGTCGTAGTTTCCATAGAGGAAGAGAGCTTTGATAAGATACTTTGTGCCAGAAGTGACTTGTAGATTATAGCAGTTTCGTATTCCGTCTGGAAAATATCTAAGAACAGTGAATGGCTTATAGGCTTCTTCGTAAAACTTTTGGACTCTACCACTTTGACCACCTTGAGTGAAACTGGCATCGGATATGTATGTTAAGGTGGTTAATGGCTCGGTATAAGGAGATATCGCGGGGTGTAAACCGCAATCTAAGTTGATGAATTCTGATAAGAGGCGACATAGAGATCATGTCAAATATATAGAACAGAAAAAGAGAATTAGATGTGTAAAAAAGTGTTTGTAAGAGTGTACCTTTTGGATCAGGCTGAGCTTGAATTAGATGTGTAGTAGTGGCAAAAGCTACAATGATCAGAGCTAGCAAAAGCTCTTGAAGAGTCTCCATTTTTTTTTTGAGGAGTCTATGACAAGAAAACATATATCGCCTGTCTGATATATTCCTTGTTCATGTTGTAAGTCAAGGATTAAGGTTGGTCATTGACTTTTGACTTATGATTATGAAAATATAGTTGACAGAGCATAAACAACTGTGATAATTGGTCACCATGATTACGACGTGGTTACAACTTTTATTCCTCTACGGGTTATTAAATTTGTTGCAAATTTATAAATAATTGGATATTGGATAGAAAGAACAACATGTAACTGAAACAACCTGGACACAAGTTATGTATTTTAACCCCAAAGAAGAGGAAAATAACTAAGAACAGTGAAAAAAAATACCTAATCGTAATGTTAAAAAGAAAACTCCCAAAAGCTCTTAAAAGGAAACGATTAAGCCGAAACACATATCTCGTATCATATGAAATAGCGTTTTAAGTGGCAATGTTTAAACGTATTACATTGTCTTGATCTTTGAATTTTTATTTCTCTCAAAATTTTGAGACATGAAATAGTTACATGAAAGATGTAATTCTTATTAGAGGTTAGCGTGCATCAGGGGTCACATCAGCGGTGAAACTGGTGCTCCGTTCAATGGAACTTTTTGAGTCTATGTCTGATCTTCCTTCTTTCCTTGAGTTCTCATAAATGAGACATTCTTTAAGTTCACTTATAACTTGAGACATGTTTGGTCTTCCACCTGAAGAGGGGTTCACACATGACATAGCTAGCTCAAGAGCCTTCCAAACAGAACTTGAGTCATAGTCCCCCTTCAAGTTTGGATCCATAATGCTATTGATATCTCCCTTAGTAAGCATCAACCCAACCCATTCTGCTATATGAGGCTTTTCACGGACTTGTTGAATCACTGGTTGGTTTGTAATAATTTCTAACAAGACAATCCCCAAGCTATATACATCACTTTTCTCGGTCAACCAATTTGTTCGATAGTACCTACAGAAACAAGCCTCATATATATTATTTATCTTAATCATTTAAGAAGGGACACAATTTTTTTTTGGAATATCAAATTTGCTTACTCAGGATCAAGATATCCAGGAGTGCCAGCAACATTTGTCGACACGTGAGATTCAACTCCAATAGGAAAAGATCTCGAAAGTCCAAAATCAGCAAGTTTTGCATGGAGATGCTCGTCCAACAGTATATTTGTTGTTTTAACATCTCTGTGTATCATTGGAGGTTCACAACCAATGTGTAAGTACTCTAATCCTGTTTGTATCAAATCCATTCATGTGTTATTCTTGAAACAAATGCAATAATCTTTTTTTAAGAGTTACTTGAGAGTAGCACATACCTTGTGCAGTCTCCATAGCGATTCCAAGCCTGCTCACCCAATTTAATACAGTGGAACTAGACGCTCCTGTATTTTTCATGGTATAGATGTCAAATTCTTCTCAAGATCTTGAGTGTTATATGAAAATAAGTTGGGAAATATTTTTTTCTGTAGTTTTAGTAGTATAAATATTTTTGGTTGAATACATATTTACCTGAAAGATGTTGTTTTAAGTCCCCATTAGCTGCATACTCATAAACAAGGGCCAAGTGGTCTTCTTCATTACAATATCCAACAAGATTTACCAAATTTGTATGGTGAACTCTCAAAAGCAGCTCAACCTGATCAATCATGTAACAAATAATTATTATTGGCCCTTAGCTTGGTTTAATTTGTATTAACAGGTCATGCTTAGTTTGTTAGGAGCAACACATAGTGTTCGGATTCATTACAAAGAAAGCTAATTAGTACCTCTGCCTTAAATTGCTTATAGCCTTGAGTTGATGAACGAGAGAGAACTTTAACAGCTACTTGTTCATTATCATTCAAAAGACCATGATAAACGATTCCAAACCCTCCCTCCCCTATTACTCTTTCAAAGTTATTCGTCACTGCTTCGACTTCCGAATACGTAAACCTTCTCTTTTTGGTTAAAATTGTTGATTTAGTAATCGGCGATCTGTTACGAACTGTATTGGAAATATAAATATTAGATACAATGCCAAAATTCCATTTTATATATAGGTGTTGTTGATTTTATGGTAAGTACCTTTTGACGTCTTTTTCTTTTTGTAAACAAAAGAAAGCAGTAGCACAACTACAATAAGGAGCGTTGCAGCTACTGATGCAACAACTGGTACAAGAAATTTCGTATTGCTACTTTTGCACTTATCAGCATGACAAAGATTCCCATTTCCTTCAATACTATGTACAAAGAACAAATGTGAAAATTATATATATTACTAAAAGTGATGGGATGGAGGGTGGTGTGTAGTCGTGAATTTTTTATTTTTTAAACTTACTTTAACTTAAGCCCATTGTTTTGTTTGTCGCGAAGGGATTGAGGAATCACTCCTTTCAATTTGTTCCAACTTAAGTTTCTGTCGCGGCAGATAACTTACGTTAGCCAAAAACATTTATAAGTTAAGAAGCAAAAAAAAATCAATTATCTTCTTCGAGAAACAACTTACATGGTCGACAAAGATTTCATGTTGGCCAAAAAGTCAGGTATTTCTCCAGATAAACTGTTACTTGACAAGTCCCTAGCGTTTGTAAAATTATGAATTAAGGTATTTCATTTTTGTTAGGAACAAAACAACTGTAAGATTATGTATATGATATGCAAAACATATTTGTCATTATTCACAATGAGTAGAGTGGATATAGTAATTGGTCCCTTTACACTTTCCATGTGCGATCCCTACACTCAGTACTATCAACTAAGATTTGAGATATCTATATATATACTTTCAAGTAAGATTTGATATATCTATACTTTCACCAAATATGAAAAAACATACGAATAATTCTTGGGTTCACCCCTAAGGGTGAACCTATCTTATTCACCCTCTTTAAGCTAACCAATCAAAATTAGCCATGTCATCTAATTAAATAAATTAAAATAATTTATCTTATTAATTACAAACTTTAAATTCTAACCACTATATTATTAACCTAAACTTAAATATAATTTAGTTTATTTATAAAATCTAAACCCTAAAGTACTAATTTATGAACCCAAACCAAAATATAAACATGTTTAATTACAAAATCTAAACCCTAACCACTATTTTGTCAACCCAAACCAAAATATAATTTCGTTTCATTACAAAATCTAAATCCTAACCACTATTTTATCAACCCAAACCGAAATATAATTTTGTTTATTTAGAAAATATAAACCCTAACCACTATTTATAAACCCAAACCAAAAAATAAATTCATCTATTTATAAAATCTAAACCCTAACCATTATTTTATAAACCCAAACCAAATAAAATTTCCTAAATAAAAATCCTACAGAATTTGTTTCCTTAATTTGTTTTATTTTATGATTTTAATTTTGATTTATTTTTTAAATAGAAAATGACATGGCACATTATTATATTTTGATTGGTTAGCTTAGAGGGGGTGAATGAGATGGGTTCACTCCTATGGGTGAACCCAAGAATTTTTCAAAACATACTATGACAGATATTATAGAAACCTTTTAGATACTTCTATAAAAGGAGATATATACTCACAGTTTTTCAAGCTGGGTTAAGTTTTGTAAGACGGGCTCTATGGTCCCTTTAAGCTTGTGGTCTGATAAGTCTCTGTTTAGAAATATAATCTTAGATAGAGAGAGAGAGAGAGAGAGAGAGAGAGAGAGAGAGAGAGAGAGAGAGAGAGAG